AGCTTAAAAACAGTACATTCACCAAAAGTGAACTCTTCTTATTTGTAATTTTTTACAAACATAAGGGTCGAAGTGTTTTTTTACGAAGGTCAAAATTATAATTATAATAAATTGCAAAAGATATAAAACCTCTGCTATATAAAAAGATTCTACACAAACGAACAAACAATCAAATAGAATTATAGAAATAGTAAAGTTCCATTTGCTACAAATCCCTCAAAAGTAAAATCGTAGAGAATTTCACATTCAAAGTGAAACCATAGACACGAAGTGGCCGTTTGAGGCAAAGATAATACGGTCTGTTCTATTGGCCCAAGTGTTCATATCACGAGATTGCAGGCTCGGCCGACAGCTCGCCCCGAGCGCCCAACAGATGCTCTAATTCTACCGCACAGATAAATAAGTGCACAGATAAATTAGAATTAACTAGTGAATTTAATTTTAAATATATAATTCGTGGTTGAAATTCGACAATTACTACTTACTTATAAGCTTCACTTTGTGTACCTATATACGAGCAACTGAGATGTTACATCTGAAGATGAATGCATCCATGTCATAATGAGCCAAAATTCAATCAATCGAAAATGATTATAGAAACATATAGAATTTTTTTGCTAACTCACGCTAATAAAGCAACAGAATACAACTAGCATATTATTTCCTTAATCTTTAAAATTTCAACACACAATAACGTCCATAAAAATATTAGAATTAATACTAGTCTACCAATTTGGTCTATCTACGTACTGACCGTCAATCTAACTGGAAGCGCAATAATGAATGCCTACAGGGGCTCTAGATTGCTAGCATGTGAAGTAAATACTGTGAAATTGGATAAAATGGCTTATTATGTGTAACCAAATGGGACTCGATAGTCAAGTACATGTTTCACCCTTCCTTTTGCTGCCTTTTAATTTGATACTGTCCTAAAATCTCATATAACATACCTCTAGAAGGATGCTAATGATTTCGATATCAGACTGTAGTATGCTTCAATTATACCTTGGGAGCAGATATTTCATACAAAAATGGTGTAAATGATCAATCATAATCAGTATTACATAAACAAATGCCGAGTATGTATCATACATACTTTTGCACGTGTACATACAAATGTAATATATCTTCCATAGACGGTACAATCTTATTTCATTGTAATCGTCAGAGAAGCAAGAGACTATACTGTATCAAGTAATACTACACCAATGCCATACTTCTACAGTTATACAGTATCATGAATATACTTATTATTACTGTACATCGATTGTAGACCGATTTCAAAAAGGAAATTTGAATTCGATTGTAGTTCCTGTTACTACAGCAAATATGAAAGTTTGTGACAATGGATGGATGAATGTTTTTCATTATCTCGCTCAAAAATGGATACTGAACGAAATTAAATGAAATTTTTTACACAAGTAGATTATATCCTAATTCAGCACATGGAATACTTTATATACTTGATTTACGCAGGTGAAACCGCAGATTGCAGCTAGTTTTTAATAAATAAGAATAGCAAACAAACTAACGCCTTACTGTGTAAATATTTTTGTGTAAATGTGGCCTTGAATGATTTTTTAAATTGGCATATTAATCTTATATCTAAATACTGATTTTTTAAAGATTAATATAAACTTTTCTGGAAGAAATTCTTATTTTTTTATGCAATAACTACTTCTGTATAAAACTCAACCTACTTATCTATAACTCATACTATAAAGATCCTCAAAATGTATACAAAATATAAGTGTAACAAAATTTAACTACCACCATCCACCGAACCGAATCGCCTACTTCCTAAACGGAGCTGAAAGATTGATATTGTACTGTTACTCGGAAATATTCACCCCATTATGCAATAAATTGAGCCGTACCGACCTCACACCAAATAAAAGGGCAAATCTATTGTCGTGTCCCTACCGTTTATCCCGTTGACATGACATATTCAGCTAAAGAATCTTTTATTATGATTATCTTAATTATTGTCTAAATATGTTATTTCGCTAATGAAAGCACTATTGTATTTATTTGATTACCATTGTTTTTCATTATCATCATTAAAAATAACATTTATTTATTTGCGTCAATTAAATATATTGAAAATAAGATTAATGCAAAAACGACCTCTATTTACGAGGATTACAAGAGCAGCGTTGAACTAAAAATAGTTTTGAATATTTTAATGCTATTAATATCAAAAAACTAAAAATTAGTTATATAGGATTTAAAGATTTAAAATTATTGTACCTTAAAAATTACTTATATATTTAATATAATTATATAATTTAATAATATTACGGACGTCCATATCGGTACCCTTCGTTAATCTTTTATTTCTGCAACTAGAATAGCAAACATGCTGACGGCCCACCTGATAGAAAGTGGTAACCGTCACCTATAGACATGAGCAAGTACCATGGACATAACAGAGTATACTGTTTCACCCATGATATTCCTGAAAACTCAGGCGTTAGTTCTCTGTACCCTGTAAATTCATTGCTATATCCAACCCTTCAAACCGAAACACAGCCATAAACACAAATGCTGAGGGGAAAGAGATTGGTAGTAATGGAGACTGAGAATCTTATTGCTAGCAATATACCTAATCAGGTCGACCTCCTCACAGTTCTCCCATTATATATATATATATATATATATATGTATGTAGATAAATGAGATTATAATTGCATATATACCTTATTATTTAGATAGTATGAGAGGCTCAACATCTTTAACCATTTTCACTTCCTTTATATTTCAGCCGATATACTTATATGATTCCTTGATACGTTTTCTTTGACTGTTTGTACCTATATATTTCAGATAATTTCTCAAAGCAACTAACTGTCTAAAGAAATCAAACATAAAGAATTACCTACAGCTTTGTATCATCAATTTCTTCGCCTTTACAAAGAAAGCTTACTTATATAGAAACTTATTCAACTGATTCTTAACAAAGAATACAATTTTTGTATGTTTATTATAATAAATAAATAATTGTTATTTTTGCCTTCTGATTAGATAAATGTTATTTTATGGCAAAATAAAAAAATATTGTACATATTGTATTTGTATCGTGATATTTATATAGAACTTCCACATACGAAGGGAGCTTAATTATACTTTTAAATCCGCATATAGATCCACCATATAGAAGCGAATAGAAATACTCGCATAATAATTAATCAATAATATTTTAGATCAATGTTCACAAAGTTATAATTAGACTTCACTTAATTCGTTTTATTTTTCAATTATTCTCATTATATATTAATAACTACAAAATAATCCCGCATTGCAAACTATAATTAAAATGACAGGAAATAAACGATGATCGATAGTACGTAGTCATAAAACGAATTGCAACTGCATTTCATCGATTCTGTCATATTTCAGCGTAATCATATTCTGATTTAATTAAATCCGAGCGATCCGAGCGATAGCTCGATTCGGATAGTTTGCCAACTTCACGGATATTAAACTTCATTGCAAATATCATTCTGAAATGATTTTCGTGCAGCACAAAAAGAAATAATGTGGAAAACTACACAGTACATAATTTATATACACGTTACACAATATTATTTTCAAATTATTCACATTCAGTATAGAACAATAGGCCGTGTGGTGCCGCCATAAAATGGGTCAACACTTCCTTTTCTGTGGGTATCGTAAGAGGCGACTAAGGCAATTTAATAATTAAAGGATCGGCAGTAGTGTTCCTTCTTAAAATGCCACCAAAGACTGACTGCAGTTGCCAACCTGCCTACATAGACAGTTACTGGCAAGCCCCCTCGAGGAGGAGGCCTAAGTTTGGTAATGGACATTTAACATATAAATATATAACAATAACAATAATTAATTATGAATCTCATTTTGTAATTAAAAATTATTTTCTTACAGCTCAAGAAAAATAATACAAAAAAGCAATATAAATAGGTATAACTTCTAAATTAGTTTTATGCTATCTAGACTATCCTATTGTGTTCTAACTGTAGGAGGAGTCAAGAGTCAATAGAACCGGTTTATTGAATGATATAAGTTTTATATATAAGTTAGTATAAAACAAGAGATATACGTTAGTATAGACGCCTTTAAGACTGGATTCTCTATGCCTATATTGCAAGACACTTAGCGTGAAAAGAGATAGATAGTTTTTTTGCAGGACAGATTTTTATGTCTGCCTTCTATATAAGTAGACAGTATTAAAGGAATGCTAAATGATCTGATTTAAACCATCCTCTTTCGGCTCTTCCACTTTTATCAATCTATCTATAGAAATTCGCAGATTACGAGTACTTTTAACTTTGCCCTTTTTAACACGTCACTTATTTTGTCACCGTATTTCCGCGTAGGTGACCCTTACCGACATCTCCACTCATTCGTACTCGATATATTTCTTTAGTGATCCTTCTTTCTCACATCCCTTTCAAATGACCAAACCAACGATACCCTTTTCAATCTTTGTCACATCATATTTCTGTCTGCACTTCTCTCTAAGACAGTATTTCTCACTTTTTCCTTTAATTTTCGATACACCTAGACTCTCACCTCTACGATACATATGAAGAATAAATTAAATAGTATTTGAATCAAATATTCACACATTAATTACTAAAAATCGCGATTACCATACGAACTAAGATGCCACACTAGTACAGTTAAAATTTTGTAAGTTTTGTAAATTCTTAAGTAACATAAAGTTTTTCAATGAAACTTCGTATACAGATGGACCATATATTTGATTAAGTCAAATAATACTTATGTATGTAGTTAGCAACAAATAATAAGGAAACAAATGCTGAGATATCCTTTCAGTCTTGCACACAAGTTCAATGCTCATCTCATTATCTACTCTCATCCAATACTGATAATTGTAATAACGCTTATGTATATAATGATAAAGTTTAATTTACTAGAATAATATCTTTGCAAACTGTGCGTCATGTTGATGACCTCAAGACGAGAATAAATTATATGTTGTTATCAATGAAATTAAATAGATACGAGGGGAATAACTAAGGCCTCGATATTTGTTTGGAAACTTGGAACCCCCTTTCGTCGAAGATGCATATAAATATGAAAGAAAGGTGGGAATAAGCATCAGTCAACTGTTCTTTCAACACTTGAAGATTTTAAGAATCATCAGTTTTTGGTAAGCAAATTTTTTTCTAGCTAAATTTCATAATAATTAATTAATATAATCTTATAAATACTTTAATAATATTAATTTATTATAATGTTCTCAAAAAGTTTTTATTTTCTCAACACAACGATTTCACTTCAAATGTCAAAATCAATACTAAAAATTGAAAATAATGTAAATTTAATAAATGAAAATGAAATTATGTTTTCGACAAATGGACATTACAAGCCACAGTAAAACCTATGTGTTAAATAGGTTTTTGAAACCTTACTATAATTTCAAGAATTCAATTCAATTTCACGGAAATTCAATTATACTATTACAATTTTATTATTCATATTTTAAGCTCCTCCTAATAATATATTAAAAACAGTAACTGTCAAATTTCATATATAATTAATTATTTGAAAATGTTTATAATTTAAATACAATTAAAAAATTCCTTCAAGTACTTTTTTGCAACTATCAGCATCAGAATGGGAAGGAATTATTAGTAAATTTTTGTCTACCCGTGCGAATCGCTAATTCTAATTAAAATTACGAATAAATCTAACCCAATAATACTTCTGTTGCAGCCACAATGCAGTTCTTGTACATTATTGCCAGTGTGCTAGCTGTAGTTGCAGCCCAAGATTACGAGATACATCCTCAAATGATTGTGAACAGGTATATTACTAATATAATACGAGTTATATTGAAATTATTTAACGTATTTATTATATTTATTCTCTTTAAAGAATTATAGTTTTTTTTTTTTACGTCAGAATCATTGATATTAAAAATAAACTAAGTTTATAAGATGTTGGTCGTTTTCAGCTATAAAACTGTTTTGTCTCTTTCTTTTGTGCAATATTCCCACTTTGAATAAAAGTGGCCAAACAGTTGTGGGTGACCATGGGCGGCGGTAGTCACTTACCATCAGGTGAGCCGCATGCTCGCTTGGCCCCTGTGTTGTAAAAAAATAATAATAATAGTTAAAATAGGTTTATAGAAGGTTTATTTGAATTTTTTTATGAATAAGGGAATATGACTCACATTCCCCATAGAAACACATAAAATTTTATGAATTAAAATTACTCATCATTGAACAAAGCAGAAGCGGAGTCGAATAGATAGTTGCTGTAATTAACCGCGCCGACATATTCTTATAAGACTTGTGAAAATATATGATCCACACAATGAGTTTCAGCAAGTCAATTACATACATGTACATCACTATCCTGTGAATAAGTCTGTTTAAAAACATTATTAAAAATACACTTTTATGGGCTTTTAGGCAAACAGGGTTATATTATTTCTCTAGACAAATCAAATAAGCCGAAGTACAACGGATTTATCAAACGTATTTTACGAGTTATTAGTATCTAAGGTGAATTATTATCTAAAAATCTAAGGTAGGCATATTGAAATATAAAATATGCCTACCTTAGATCTTCACATACAAAGGAGAATTCAGTATAATTTTATTTATGTAGGTACCAACTATGAATATAATCGGGGTCTTACTACGTTATGAAATTTTAGCGATTTCCAATATTACGGCAATATCAAGTATACTCGTTAAAATTTCATAATTATATTCATAGTAAATGTAGCGCAGTTTGTACAAACTATAAATATATGTAACAAATATTTATAACTTTTTATTTTACCAGTTGGAATTTGACCATCAGCAAAAACATTGTGCAAATTTAAGTTTCCAACTCCAATAACAAACGACAACAATGATAAATGTTTTTCCAACTCCATAAGATTATTGTTTTAAAAATATGTATTTATTTTATAAATCACTATGCAGGTATCCAGAATGGTACATCCGCAGCGAATACTCCCATCCAAGATTTCAGAGGGATCTATCAGTAGATAAGAAAACCGAAGACGTAACCTTGGACCACAAAACCTCGCCTGATGGCCGCATATTCGGAACTTTAGGTTCAAGAGATGAGGCATTATTTGTAAGTATTATATGGCATATTAGCTGTGTGGTTCCGGAAAAGAATGGGCCACCCCTTCTTTTCTCATGGGTCTCGTAAGAGGCGACTAAGAGTATTTAATGATTGAAAGATAGACAACAACGTCATTCATATAACGTCACCAAAAATCCTAACTGCGATTGCTTCCCTTGCCAAGCATTACAACTACTAGCAAAACCTCTAAGAGGGAGACCTATGTTCAGCAGTGGACAGTTAACGGCTGATATAATGATGATGATTAAATATATACAAATATATTTACGAGTGTATATGATTAAACAAACGACTCATCGTATTTCTCCTTCTTAAATTTTTGTTTATTATAAATACCTATAACAAAATTATATTATAAATATCAAAAGGTAAATTAAACCTGGTAAAACTTTAAAATGTATATTAATTATAGTGTATTTACAGAAAAAATATCATATATCATCATCTATAGCCAAGTAGATGGCTCTAATGTGTGTAATATCCAAAACTATTTATATCTTGATGTTAGTTTCTCCCTTTGTACATTTTACAACTATACCTACTTTCAGGGTAAAGCTGGCTACCAACGCAACGTATTCGACGATCACCGTGGTAAACTAGATGCTTCTGCTTACGGATCGCGTGTTTTAACCCCTTATGGCGATTCAAGCAATCTGGGAGGTCGCTTAGATTATAAAAACGACCATTCTGCTGCCTCTTTAGATGTAAGCAAGCAAATCGGCGGACACACTGCGGTAAGTTTTCAGTCATTTTTATATCTGTCTCGTGATATAGGTATAAAATTATATGTAATATCAATAATTTGAGATTTTGTTCCACAAATTAATATACGAGACTCAAGCCAATAATTGCAAATAGTCATCAGTATCGGTTCAAACTGATGAACAAATTACATAAGTAACATAAAGTAAAAAAGAAGCCAACCTTTAAACAATTTTGTTTAAGGAAATAAAGTTATTATTATTATTATAATTCATTATCACCTATAGACAAAACAGCACCTTGGATGTTACAGAAAACTTAATGATGCTCATGGATATCTCACAGTTTTCTAATTTTTAAAACTAAAGTAACCTTCAAAAAAGAACATATTCCATTTTAAAAGGCCGACAGAATACCTGCAATTCTTCCGGTGTTTCGGGTGTTCATGGATGACTGTGATAGTCACTCACCATCAGATATGCAACGTGCACAAATTACATACATATTTGCCCTCTGTGTTACAAAAAAAAATACTATTATTACTATCTACCTCCTGTACTCAGTAATTTCACCGTCATAAATCATATCCTATCCTTCAACCCAAAACACAGCTATATGCAAACGGAGACAAACACGAGTAGGATACTCGTAAACGTACCTACCCATACAAACTTTTTTTATACAAAGTCTCCTTCTAGGTATCGGTAAAGTTACTTTGGAAACTAGTAGTAACATATCGTTATCATATAATTTGGGTAGTAATGTTCTAATTGTAAGGTTCTGTAAAATTGTAAATAGCTACAGTAACGAGGTCGATATTAATTTTGATAGTCTAAATTGTTTTGTAAAAAATGTCTATAAATGTATAAAATGAGTTATGTTGCTGGATCTGCTTATGGATATGGTGGCTTGAGTTATTTTTAAGCTGTAATGTAATCTTGTGAAAACAATTGTTGGTGAACCTAAATAAATTAATAATTAAATTATCATGTAGGTCGACGCTGCTGCTGGTGGTAGATGGCCGATTGGTCGCAACGGTGACTTCACAATGCAAGGCACCTACAGTCGCTTCGGTCCCCTACAAGACTACGGTGCGAGAGCCGGTTTGAACTACCGCTGGTAAAATCCAGTCTAGTCAACTAGATTGTACATAATTTTAATGATACTGTAAAATTTATGTTTAATGTAAATATCATATTATTATTCGGTCATTCGTTCTTCCTATACAATGTACATAAATTATTTAAATATATATATAATTAATATACATTTATTTCATTATTAATTTTGTTTTATCTTTACCAACATTATTTTGTACCACTTCCTTCTTATATCTACTTGAAAATTTTCCTAAGCGTACAGGAGCGATATCCAATCAGAACTAGTTTAAACCTACCCTAAAATAAAATACACATGCGTTTATAATTTTTTAGGTTTTTGCCTGCTACTTTATATCCGTGAATTTTAAAAGTAGGAAAGAGTATACCATAAATTTAAGTTGTGACAATTGACAAAAAGACAATTGTGAACCGCATCTAAAATAATGCAGTAGTTTTTATGTGGTGTCAAAACAACCATACAAATAGGTACACAAACAAGATTTCTAAAAATTATTTTATTAGCATCTATTGGTCTCAGTAAAGCCCCCCATTTTATTTTCTCTTAAATATCTCTCATATAGAAACATCGTACTATAGTTAAAAATTTTTTATATTAGTAAGATAAAATTCTCATACAAATTCAGTTGCTTAAAATAGGTATATTAATAATACTATAATCTTTTGGAGGATATAATAAACAGTATCTACCTATCTATCTAAAAATACTAGCTTTTTTTACAACACAAGGGGCAAACGAGCATGCGACTCACCTGATGGTAAGTGACTGCCGCCGCCCATAATCACCCACAGCACTAAAGGTATTGCAGGTGTGCTGCCGGCCTTTTAAAAAGGAAGGTAGACAAAAATTACAACATTATTATTGTCACCAACCTACTTCTATTGCCTGTAGGATATTAATATGCCTCGTTCACACTTACATTCATATAATAATGAGGTTTCTCCTTCACGCATCCATTTTACTAAAATGTATAACAACAGTTAATTAAATATGAATGCCTTTAATATTTGATTAGTAAATTAATTCTAGTATCACAGCTACACACTACAGGCATTGTAATGAAATTCATAATATTAATGCTCGTAAACTCATAGTTCCTGTATTCATGGACTTAATTAATACTGTTAACGAGTAATTTTATTACCAAAATGAATACATTTTTAAGTAATTATTTAAAAAAAAATTCATCAGTCTTATGAAATTTGATAATGAAATTCTAAATTTTAGAGAATCTTACGATATTTTAATTCTTGGTGCAAGAAGGTCTTTCTTATTCTTGGACCACGTACATTATTCCTCCAAACTAGATAAATTTATAAATTTCTTTACAAATAAGAAAGCAGATCACGGCTCAACGGTTGAACGCTAACCTTTTCTTGTTTGGTTCCTCATACTATAAGGTATGGCTTGAGGACTAAGCTATTAATGTAATTGTATGGACTTATTACTTTATTAATTGTCAAAAGTTCTAATTAACGCATTCTAAATATATGAAGCATGCATATTTTCCAGAACATATTCGCACTTATTTAAAAAGAATAGTGATTTTTGTAATTTTAACACAAACAGTCCTCACATCCTAGTATTATCTTATAAAACTACAACTTTGTATAGCAGAAATGCCTACTGTTTGACAATAAGCATTTATAATAAACTAACGAAAGAAATAAAAACACTACCCTTAAATATATTTAAAAAGAAACTAAAGAGGTGGGTAATAGAATAATGGATTTTACTCAGTTAATACATATTTTAATCATTTTAAAGCTTAAATATAATATAACATGACTCAATTTATTGACTGAATTATTTGTAATTTGTATAATGTATTATTAATAGGTAAATATATTAACACTGTAAATATACATATTATCTGGCATTCGGTTTTCATTTCGTGTTCATAACACAATTAAATAAATTTTATATGCCAAATTCTGGTGAATAGTATAAACAATATTTAAATATTATGTACCATCTATTGTACCCCTTTTCAAACAAAATAAAGTTAATTGTATTTTTTTTGTATTCTGTAATGCCAAAGTCAAAAAGTTGCAAGTATAGACACTTCTTTAGCAAGAACAGAAGTAATTTTAATAAGATTTACTTGCATTTACATATTAATGCATGTGCCTATGCGTTAAGACAAAGAACCCGTATAATAAATATTCATTCTCAAACAATAAATTTGTTTTTATTGAACTCGACTATGACATTTTCGATTGGTTAGTTCGTTAAAGAATAATATCTCATTCCAATGCGTTTCACTTAATTACCAAATGAACTATTCAAAAAGTATAATAAAGTTCAATGATTCATACTAATTAAAGACTTCACAATTATGTTAACAATGGACAATCTTATTATAAAAAGTATTAAAATAGATTTAAACAGATGAAAAATATTTTTATTCATAAAAAAATATATCAATATTGCATTAAAACAACAAAACCAGCATCATATGTAATATACACAAAAGTTGAATAAAATAATACCCATAAGAATGAAATATAGTTGTTTAATGTAGTAATTTTTTTTAATTAGTCAATATTTATTTCTAAATATTTATGATTAGTTTTCGTCAGCCATGAGCGAAGTAACTGATCTATCGAACTGTAAAATTATTAGCGCATGTTTGAGAAAATGTAACATAAGATTGTGAGTATTGTCTATACATCAGATTCCCACACCCACATTAGCAGTTTGGCTGCGAGTCGTTTTTTTTTTTCTCTGCATTAATTAATATAACGGTATAAACTCGTGAACTTTGTCAGTTTACTAGGTACTAGTTTCCTGTACTCAGTTAATATCAGAGGGTTAATAGGTACATCGATGAATTCTCATTAATTGAAAACAGTACATGAAAAATACATTACGAATAGACCAAAATCATCTATTGGTTTTATTCGACTATTTTTTTTTCTTCTAAATAAAACACAATATTTTCACCAATTCTGATTTTCAAATTCAATTATGATAATTATTTTTGTAATATTACTCCCATGATGATGATGATGATTATAATGACATCAGTCGTATTGTCTACTGTTGAACATAGGCCTCCCTTTTGGAAAGTTTTAAAAGGGATACTGCTTCCCATCCCTCAATCATTAAGATCCCTTAGTTGCCTCTTACGACACCCACGGGAAAGGAAGGGGTGGCCTATTCTAAGTTAGGACCACACAGTTACTCCCACATTAGTACAACATTTTTTTTATTGCGACGCAAAATAGAAGCTGGAGTAAATAGCACCATTATAACATATATAAAAAAAACTACGGAAAATTCACATATCAAGTCAGGTATGTCGAAAATAACTATATAACTATTTGTCATAGACCAATTTCATTTTGGTCTATCTGTAAGCCAGTAGGTAATCAACGGCGTCAAATATTGCCTCGAATACAATACAAATCGTTCTCCAAACACTAGAATTGAAATATGTCAAAAGCATTAGGCAAAGCTTTGTGAGTATTCGAACCGAATTCTGAGAGGAATGTGTATCGCGTATTTGAGGTCGACCGAAAACTATGCGCTAACGATAATAATTGGGCGAGATACCGAACCAATGCCTATGGGCTTATTCTAACCTCGTTAATGAAGAGTCAACAAAACAAGAATAACAATTGCATGATTCCTATATACATATATATATATATATATACATACATACGAATATATATACATATATAAGCGATAAATTCTCCAACTATAATTAAATCGTAACATGATATGGTTTACTAATATTACAAACATGAAATTTTATACATAGATATTTAGTTGTTTGTACATAAAGCACAAATTTTATTGACATATAATACACAGATTATACGATATGTAGTCCTGACGTAAAATCGGTCACCTCTTCTTTTCTCGTGAGTATTGTAAGCCGCGACTAAGAGAACTTAATGGTAGAGAAATGGGCAGCAGTGTCCCTCTTAAAACATAACTAAAAGCCTAACTACGGTTGCCAACCCGCCTGCCAAGCGTGAAAAATTACTGGCAAAACTCCCCTTATGCGGAAGGCTTATGTTCAGAAGTTGGTAATTCATGGCTGATATGATGATGATGATGATGATGATGTCACAGATTATACTCTAGATTAACATTTACTTTTATCCTCAAAGTCATGGGATGTATAGTTTTTTTCTCTGGTTACAGCATCTGAGATACATGAAATCTTCGTTTTGAATCAACATGTAAAGTTTAATTTAAGCGTGATTAAGTAACTAACACGCAGATATCGTTACAAATTTTCTCATTTATAATATTTAAGATTCCTGAAGGAAAATTTGAGGGATATGGCTTTCTATAAATACATTTGTGTTACTTAATATATGCCTAGACAAAAAAAAATAAAACATCATGGCAGTAAACAATATACCCCCTCTATCCAAACTCGAAACTATTTACATATCATCATATCAATCGAAAGATATCCAATGCGCAATGCAGAGTATGTACAGCGGAACTCATAGGTAGCTACTTACATAGTTGTTTTAGTTGTGTGTCGTCAATTCGAACCACATGTGCCAGTGCTCGGCCATGATTGTTTGTAGTAGCGAGAATCAAGCACATGGTTAAAAATGACTGGGAACGGATTTAATATTTATTTCTTTAATAAACATAGAATTAGTTATTGTATTCTACTGCTAATAGATATTGATTGATGATTGCCAGTTTCGTAGAAGGTGACCAATAGATGTCAACAATATTATGGGCATTACGTATATACTAATATATCTTCATATATTGCTATTACTAAGATCTAAAGAGAAAAATATTAATATATTATTTTTAACCACTTAGGTGGTTTTTTTATAGAAAAAGAAGAAAGTTTTAAGAAGACTAAAACATGGCAATTAGTGTGAATAATAGTGTGTGGTAACATGATAATAATAAAAAAAAAATAAAATGCATATATTTCTTTAACATGCATGATATACACATAATTTATACAATTATTGTACAATTGTTTCTGTATGAAATATAAAGCAAAAAATATTAAATTCTTTAAGGATATTTATTTCTAATTGTAGTATCATAAAAAATGATTATTCTAAAATACTTCAATTTAAATTCACTTGAAACAAATAGTTTGCATTTGTTTCTTTTTCAATATTATAGTCGATTTTTATTATTAAAAAGAAAGTTATTACAGTTTAAATTTAATAATTTCAATTTACAATATATACAGTGATATGATCTAAAACTGTCTTATTCATTTGAATCATTAATAAAATCAAGGTCAAAACTATTACTGAACTCGTTTAACTAGTACTATACAAAAAAAAAAAATAAACAAGAAATGAACTTGCACCTGTTTAAAAAAATCACTATCGGCTTGTTGCATCGATTGCACGCTCACAACTTTTAATTGGAAGCCCGTTGTTAACCGCGCTGCATTTATAACCCTGACAATAAACTATAAATCACATCAAAAATAATTATTTAAAAATAAAACATGATCGTGACAGCGCAGCAATAGAAACTTAATATGTAATTAAAAAAATTAATAACACTGCCTACTCGTATCTGTACTTAGCTAACGATATCATCTATTTATACATACCTACAGATATATAAAAAAAAAAAACATTTACATCCAGCCATCCAATCATTCAGCCATTTATGCGTAGTACATCCAAATTTTTTCATCGCCAGAACATTAGTAGAAATTTAAAATACCACAGTTTTTCGATGTCGATCAGAATCAAACTTACTACATAAAGCTATAATATTAAATCTTTCAACAATTATTGTAATGAAGATCAATAAAAAAATCATAACACACGCTCATTATGATATAATTTATGGGTTTAATAATTAAGAAGAGTTTTATGGATTATATATATATTTATGAAGAGTTATTTTAGTTTTAGTCAGTATTGCTTTACATTTCATATATTCATAATATAAAATGTCTGTCGAGTTTTAAAACAAAACCTAAGGATTTTTATTTAAGCAAGGTGTCATCTTCTTAATTTGTTTATTTGTCTGGTTAGCATACTTAATTCTTCAGATACCTAAAAAATATGTAACTTAGTGTTTTACGTATACATGTGAGCAGTATTTATATATTTTATACATTTGTATATGTATGTATGTATATATATAATAATGGGCAGGGATATATATTTACATTATTACATCTCCATATTTATAAATGATACAATTTTCATCGTGCCTCCGATCAAACTGTTTATAATTACTCCTCTCCATCCAAAGGTTACCTGAAAAAGGTCGCTTTTAGCGACAAGATTGCCCATTCTTTTCTCACTGTGATTATTTCTTGTAATTGATTATATCTATAAGTTTACTATTGTAATCTTTTGGAGGAAACAATAGAGTATCTATCTATTCAACGCCTACAATATTGATGATAGCAATTATGGATATGCACAACACAACTGCAATGATAACAAAATTATCAATCGTTTTATTCTTAAGCCATAAAAGCTAAAACATGGGTTCATATGACTTAATATAATCATTTTGAAATATGTATATAAATGAATACGTAGAAATATTCATACTTACTCGTTTCTTCGGACATTCTTATTTCAATAAAAATATTTCTAGGTATATGTTTTCGGAAAAATGTTTACAATTTCATTTACCATATATAAAAAATTCTTGTTCAGGAAATATTGATAGGTGGAAAATATGTAAAATAAAATATGTTACAATTTTTAATATTAAAATCCAAACATAAACTTAAGTACTTTAAAAATACAATTATTACTACTTACCTACAATAAATCATATTTTTTATATTATTAAGTTTGAAGGTTAATGGTTTATAAAAATTAAATGCCAGATGTCAACGGCAATACTTATTATAGATATTTACCTACATAATTTGAACATATTTTTACATGAATAAAATTATAAATATAAAACACAAATATTTATTTCCTAATCTTATGCCTTAACGTACAGATAGGTATCTTCGATAAAGTTCTCAAAAAATAAATGCCAAACATTCTCAACAGAGAGACTAACTCTATTGGATGGACAAAACACACTGCTTTGGAACAAAAACACTATTTCATATTAAATAAATCTATGTATATAACAAGAAAATTCATCGAATAACCGTCCAGCCACCGTCGACCCTTTGATCAAACCGCCAATTAAAATACCGACCCTCCATAACCCTCTTACAAACCTGCTGGATAGAATAACACCAAAAATATAAAACGAAGAAGACATTAGCACTTTTAATACAGAACTGTAGATATCTGGAACTCAGTGGAATGTTACCAAAAGAAAAATTATACTTAACATAAAAATAAAACTAAATAAATAAGACAACTTTATTTTCAATCAAATTATTAAGGAAGAAATATTTTTAATCAACTTGTGTATCTATATTACCCGATATTAATAATTATTTTTTAAATCAAAAATTCTTTCTCCCAGGATATTCTTAGAACAATTTGATTGTCATAAATTCTAACTCGACTTAACTTCTACTAAACATTATTGCCGTAAATTCTCGAATCGATTCTTCACATCTCGAATTATTACAACTGTGTAAAAACTTTTTTTTAATGGATTATGCTATTCGCCAGCGTTATCGGAAATACATTGGCGGGGTACCAGTGAGTGAGGACAAAAAGACAGGTCAATTAGCTATCGTGATAAAAATACACCTGGCCCTCTTGATTAGCGGAAAGCGAATTCGACGAGACATGAAACATCCGAGGTTGCTATCTCATTCCATCTCACGGATCCGCTAGCGATCTCGACTCCATTGACGAACCCGCCTGCCACCCGTCCAGAGGACCCTAGTTTTTAGTACAATGCTTTCCAAGGAAGATCACGTGGAGCTTGGGTCTTTTAATGCTTTCTTACCTTCAAATGAAAATGATGACTAGCGTATACTATTTCTGAGTGAGACAGCTCTATACCTTTCCAAACGAATCGCTAAGTAATTTTTTAATGAAATGATAAACAGACTTCTCTCATGGTGAAATGTGACAACAAAATAAATTATAACGTCCATGAATTTTTAGGGAGAATTAGTTTCTGCATCATGCAATTTCAATGCTCTACCCCACCCTTCAAATCGAAAAACAGTTCTACCAACCTACATTATGTATGTGTTTTTTTATTATGTGTATTATATATTATATATGCATGCATCAGAAACACAATAACAAAATACATGTACCTACTCAACATATATTTTTCATTTCACTAAGTTTTAATAATTCTCAGAATACTTAATTTCTTTCGAATTTTCATTACAAAACTGTATGAGCAAAGATACTAACTGCTGACCAAATATCTAGACAATAAATTTTCATTAGTGTCAACATAGTCAGTGTTCTTTTCTTGTTGTCAAATCGGACCCAATTAATTCCGACGGGACAGTTTCGATTCGTCGCTGAAATCTTGGAATGTGAGAAATGAGGACTGGGAACGCCCCAGACTCTCCGATAACCGTTCTTTTTAATTTTATTACTTATTTCGACCTTTACAAAATGTAAACAAACATATAACTATATTATAATGTTAATTAATTTAATAAGTGCTGTCATTATATTTAAAAATACAAAATACACATGAATCTTATTTTTTTATACTTAGGTGACAATGATATTGCAACTTCTATGCTCTATTGGTTTATTCTGGTGAAGTACCAATGAAGGATGATAAGTGATGATAAGATCAACCTATAGTGATACATTTCCCAGAAATTAATCAAGTTAGTTCCCACGAAGACGACATGGAAATTGACCTGACAGCTATCCTATCACTAACAATGACATCAAAGTCCTCGTTATTAACAACATTATGGTTTCTAAGATGTTACCCTTGGATTTAAGGTGTAAATATATGGAGACAATATAAGATATAATTTTTTATTAAAAATATATCAAATTAAGAATTTTTTTATGCAACTTAGAATGACAAACAAGCTGGCTGTCCACCTGACGGAAAGTAAGAACCGTCGCCTAGGGGCATGAAGAGTACCATAGACATAACCGAGTATACTTTGTCACCCATGATACCATCATGCCTTGTCATTCCCAAGGACTAAGGTATTAAGCTTAAAATAACTGTCTGAACCCTGTAATTTTAATGCAATATTCCTCCCTTCAAACTCTTTACAGCGGAAACACGAATGTTGAATATATTGATTATAGGATTCTAGTCTTTAAGTTTTTGAATTTAAATATGTCCTGTCAAAGCATTGGAATCATACATCATTTGAAATGTATTTAAAAATGAATTAAAGCTTTTTGTAGCAAATCTGTTCAGAGTATATAAAAACGTTTCCTAAACGACACGTTCACCATGAAAGTTCACAGAGGCTTTTTAATTTTTATTCTGATAATTGTAAATATTAAAACAATAAATTGCTACTATTCGAACTTTTCAACCATCAAAAGTGAATATAATTGTACTACAAACATTATTTTGGAAATAATGAAAACCCATTTTCCATGTAATGTTCCATGTAATCTTGTGAATGTTCTTTCTTCGTCAGATGAAATTAATAGGATACTACTATCATTAAATAATGATATTTGCTTTAATGTTATTGTACGATCAGTTTATAATATAGACGATTGGCATTTTGTTACGGATATATACATAATTGTTTCCGAAGATATATATGAATTGTCTACACGAATATTTGAACTGTCATATGATTTTTACTGGGCACCTGAAGCACGATTTATTGTTCAAGTACTTAATGTGGTGAATTTGCGACCAATATTTGAAATATTTATAAAATACAATATATACAATGTAATATTATTGGTTTGCATTGACGAAGTTACTGAAGTATTCACTTATTACCCATTTGCTGATGCGAACTGCGGAAAAGATTTCGGTGAAGTGGCAAATCTTGGTAAAGTGACTGCTATTGAAAAATATTTCTCAAACAAACAGCCAAATAGAATGAAAAATTGTACAGTCAAAGTAGTGATGCAAGAAACAATACCATACGTAAATCTTGGAACAAGTCATCATGACACGTATGATAAACATATGGAAGGTATAGATCAGTATGTTTTAAATATTATGGCAAAAATAGAGGATGTCACGCTCGATTACATTGTACCTAGTACAGAAACCTCTACTTTAGGTTTCGTATTACCAAATGGAACCGTCACTGACCAGCTGGCTTATTTGCAAAATGGGAGTGCGGATATAGCCATTGGAGGTTACATTTTAATAGAAAATCAAGCTGAACACTTTGACTACATTTGGGGCTACAAGTATGCTAGTTATTACTTGTTTACACCAGCAAAAAGTAACGATAATTGGAAAGATATTTACGAAGAATTTAGCCTTACTACCTGGATACTGATTATTAGTGCTTATTGGTTAATAGTTGCAGTATGTTTAATGGTTCTTCAGTTACCTCCAGCTATAAAACACTCTCGTCTAAATATAATGCTAGTGCTATGGGGCTTTTATTTGTGGAATTGTAATAAAAGGATCCTACAAATAAAACGATTGAGGCTCATTCTAATTTGGTGGATATGGTATACATTTTTTGTTGTAAATTTTTACACCTCTTATTTATACAGTTTGATTGCAAGTTATAACCAAAAACCGGCTAATATTGATGAAAATAATCTAAATTCATCAAAATTAAAACCATGCATTAGCAGTAATGTCAGAGCTAGTTACTTATATTCGCACAATATAAGTTTTCCTGAAAATGTTGATTTACCAGCTTGTAAACACTCTGGATCTGCTCTAAAGGCCGTAGCTGAAAATGACAATTTATTTACAATTCAAAGACATTATCATTATCTTGCAAATGAATTTAAATTTTATGATGATAATCATTATCGAAAATTGGATCTAAAGCGTATTGGTAATACCATGAATGTTGTTATGTATACAAACAGAGGATTTCCATTACAGAATCAAATGAAGTTACATGGTACACGTATCTTTGAAACTGGAATAGTGGACAAACATCTAGAGATACTTATTCACACAAACAAAACGGTCTCTAAAAAGGCTGTCACCAAATACTCTAAATTAAGTATGCCAGATTTAAGAATTAGTTTTTGGATTCTACTTTTAGGTATTATTATATCTTTATTGTGTTTTTTATTAGAATTTGTCATAAACAAATACAATTATTTTTTTGTAAAAATTATTGAAAATATCTCTTGTGTACATTTTAAAAAAAGGAACCGTAATTAAACGGAATTAGACATAGAACTTGTTAATTCAATACCTTCGTAAAGCCAAGAAAAATATTTATCTTGAACGATAAAAGTATTTGTCTAATAGCAAAACACTTCTTATTTTTCATGTGTACCACCAATAAAATATATAGAATGTGTTAATAAGGATTTTTTCAATACGTAATAATAACAAACTATCTCTAGAAATAAATATACATCAAATACTAGTTTAAAGAAGAAATCTATTATTCATTTAAAGTTTCTTCAGAACTTGCTAATTCAGCATATAATTTCAGCATATTTTATATTACATACTACGTAGAGTCTATTCTAATCATATCATTTAAAAGATTAGCGCGCGTCGACTCAGTGAGGACGAGGACTAATCTAAAGCAGCCTAGATAAGCGTGGTGCTCTCCCAATTTGCTTCACGTTAGGGCTGTGACTTTCTAAATATTTTTAAATACTTAAAACTTAGTAACTACACCTGTCTTTTTTATTAGAATTGCCATTCAAGCCAATGTATTTAACAGATACATATCGCTAACAACACAATCACACACACACACACACATATTCTATGCTGAGACTGCTGTAATATGCATTTCTTAATTTTTTGCTTCTACGTATTTCATTAATTCAATAGTACTTAGTTACCGTTATTTTTATTTTTTGGTTTATTTTTTACGCCTGTGTGGGTGTTGCCGCATGTTTGGACAAAATAAAGTTATACCTTTCTTTTTTCTCTCTTTCTTTCTTTCTAACTGTATAACGTGTAGAAGGATTGTAGAGGTGATACAAAAGAAAAACAAAGTATTAATCAGTGAATAAAAAATAGAATAAAATGAAAGCCCACTCACCTTACCGTCCACTCACATCCACCCAAATCAGCGCCGACTGTTCTGATTTGAGGATTCGCGGTTTCACCATAAAGCACGACACAAAAAAATGTGATTAGATTTAGAATTTGAATCTTCCACCGATTACGAATTTAGTATGAGGTTTATATGCACTTTCACGAGAGACAAAGATATTGCCATCACTTAACTAATAAACTTAAGTAAGGTACGTTTATTACGGTACTAAGTACGGAAACATTAAATGCGAATATCCAAAATAACCATTATTGTTTGAAACTATAGATTAATATTGTGTAAATTAAATCTAAAACTAAGATGTCAAATGCAATACTAACCATCTTTTAAAACATATTATTAGGCAACACATGTGGCATGCATCTCTTAAAATAAGATATTATCCTCCCTTTGTCGAAAATTGCATCAGACTATCTTCAATTGGACATTATTCTACATTCCTACTAACCTCAAGTGACCTACTGATAAAACGATTCATCCAAACGATTCAGTAACGCTACTATTATTAATATTTGAATATCGATATAATAAATCGTCTCTAATTGGCAACCCTAATGCAAGACTGGCTACAACCTCCAAATGTGAGATCCGTTGTATTTCGAATGAGCAAAGGAAAACTGTGAATATGCTAAATAATGTTTAAGTAACCTCATTTCAAAAATTATTATGAAAAAATTTATATCTTTTAAAAAGGTCGCTCACCCGATAGATACGAGTATATAACTGTGGCAAATCCTAATTTCTCCTGATATATTTGGCCACTAACAAAAACTTTGTGCATCGATTTAAATTTTAAACTAACTCTCTATTAATGGAAAATATTATTAATAAACCAAATTAATCTAAGAAGTTACAGTAAGCTTATTTTATTTTATGTTGAATTCTAGCGTATATTACGCTCATAACTACAACAACAATCTCGACTTGAGGGTATCAGTATGGAAAAGTAGGATCAGAGTATTTGTTTAACAACTCCGAAACCTCATCTACTCGTATTTTTTACTCCGAAATTTTATTTCAAATTCGAAACTAACACAAACTGTTACCGGGTTTAACTTTCTATTTAAATGTCAAAGCCTATACATCTATTTCATTTATTTAGGCACTTAGGTACCTAGTTTAAAATTAATAAATTTAATAAATTTTAGTAAATGATTTTTTAATAATTTTAATAAATTTTAGTATTTGAATAAAAACTGTAATTATGTAAACCTACGTATATTTAAAATAATGTAATACATTTTTGTTGTTGTGAACAAGTTTATCTTAAACATAAACCTTTTGTTAGTTTATAAGATTGAGTGATTTTAAATAAAAACATTTTAAATAAAAACTTTAAATGTTGTTTTTCTTTATTCTGAATTGTATATACTAACCTCACTTATTAATACTGATGAATATTCTTCTAGTTTAATTAACTCAAATAAATAATAATTATTTAAATGCATAGAAGACACCAACTAACGTAGATACTCCCAACACTGTAAATATGTACTTCAAAACCTGCAATAAAATACAAGAACTTCATACAAACATGCACAAAGGTCAGTAACATTAATACGTGTGTAAAGCTGATATATATGCAATACAGTATGACTCAAAATCTCGGCCAAAAATGGACCACCCATTCTTTTCCCGTAGGTATCATAAGAGGCGACTGGGGGAACTTAATGAGGAGGCGTATGTTCAGCAGTGGACAGTTAACGACTGGTATTATCATGGCTCACAATATTTTCGTATTATTATTATTTCTTATGCAACTTTTCATGGTAAATTAACCGACGGTCCCCATGATGAAGATAATCGTCGTCTATAGTTATAAATAGCACCATGGGCAACACAAAATATACTATGAAGTAAATTTTTCTGATCACTAAAACAGTAAAAGGAAAGGGCATTAACTGACCTTATTCTGCCATTGCCTGTTTTTTGCACATTCACTGTACGGCATCGTGGTAAAAGTCACAGAGTTGTAGAGTGGCACCCAAATGTCAGGTAGCAACCAATATATCAAGTCATCTAATGCTTTGCGAATTCTATACGAGGGACGAGTGACTAGGTCTCGCATCTGAAAAGTGAAAATATTATTGTGATCTGTTATTTTATAATTTTTTTACTTAAAGAAATAGGTGATCACTGGAACATGTTTATTATAAAATAAAATACAAATATTTATATTGTATTGTATTGTAAAATCTTTATTGTACATAATTCATACGGAATACATCAAAAGATTTAATATACAATGGCGGACTTATCCCATAAAGGTATCATAAATGTTGTATTTTTCTAACTAAATTGACATTATTCTTCTCTTTCTTATAATATCTCATCATGTTGTGGTACATCAAATGCTTGAAGAATAATCTAAAATATACATTTAAAATAATACCATACGGAGACTTTGAACAAAAGTCATCTATTTGGATACCTCTGTCTCATTTATGTTTCTATCGTGAAACAATTGTGTTTACATGGCTTTGTATGTGTTTCATTTCGAAGTGTGGTTTATGACAATGAAATTACAGAGTACATAGGCATAACACCTTAGTCTGGGCAGCAAGAAGAAGAGCTTATTACTAATGCAGACAACAAGTTTCATAACTAGCAATCCACGTGGTCCTCCCTGGAATGCATCGTGCTGAATTCCAGGAGTATTTATCACAATGAACTAACTGACCTGTCCTTTCATTCTCACCTATCATCCCTCACTAGAGTCCTGCCAGCGTATACCGTTAGCGAAGACAGGGTTACTATTCCATTATTATTTATTAAAAAAAACCTTAAGGAATTGTAATGCATGAAGTGTTATGAACGATACAGTTTCTGTTATGCTTATGGTACTGTTCATATCTATAGGGGACAGTGACCACTTTCAATCAGGTGAACCGTCAGCTTGTTTACCATTCTAAATGGCATAAAAAGTATTAGCAAAAAGTAAACTGCATATGTGTACATATATATTAATTATATTCTGTAAAACTTTAACAAGTAAGACACTGATACAATAAAGGAAATCAAAGTATCAAAGCAAATAATGATTAGTATCTATTTTTAGAATGTTTATATAGATAATTTTATTTAATTATCTGGCAGTCAAGCTACACCCTGAATCCTATCATTGCGGTTTTATTGTTTTTTTTAATTTTTTTATGTAAAATCAATACGAAGAATTAGACATATGTAATATGGATAACGATCCGATATCTATATATTGGGTTCCCCTGGACATTCATGGTGGAAAAATGGTCATCACCTATTTCAATATCGTCCATGTCAGTCGGATATCTATTTTCTAATATATAAAAAGTCTGTTATCCAATATTATTTTTTAGATAACAGAGTTTTAACAGATTTGTTACTGGACCAATGTATACAAATTGTAACTAAAATATATAAATATTGCTATATATGTATTACCCACTCCTACGAAGAATATCTAGAGCCACAGCCCAGAATATAAATTTGAAAAAAATCTTTTTTAAAAACAAAAGTCCCTTTGATAGATAACTAGAGACTAACTTCAAAACAAAATCTTACCTCTATGTAATTATACAATGCCAAATCACAAATCTCAAAGGTGTCTATCCATCTAGTATCCGAAAATTCCAACAGAATTTTAGCTAAATCATCGTTGTACTTCTGGAAAAGATGGTCTAGTATTGTGCAATCTTCGAAGCCAGCGTTCATGCCTTGTCCATAGAAAGGAACCACTGCGTGTGCTGCGTCACCAATGAGGAGCGCCTTATCTTCTACGTGATAGGGTCGGCACTAAAATTTAAATAGGAAATATTATAATATCTAATTGAGAATATCGTCTTTCATGTGGATGGAGGGTTCTTGACCCCATTGCTACTGGTTTCTCTTCACCATTGTCCATAATATGTGCTAGTACAGCCCCTATCCCATACTCTGATGAATCACAAGTTAAAATGAGTTTTTTCTTTGTATCATAGTGTGTAAGACTGACATCATTTGTAAGTAAGCTCTTTGCTGTATTAAAAGACTGTTGTTCCTCATTATTCCATTTCCATTTATTTTTCTTGTCTAATAATCTATGTAGAGGCTCCAAAACTGTTGCTATTCGGCACTAAAATTTATATATCAATATCTTTAGAATCGACTAAGTCCATCTGGTGATTTCTTTTTACCACGCTTGTAACAAATTTCATAATCATGTGCAGATAAAGTCAAACATATAAATATGCCAAATAAAATTGCTGTAGCCTTTATCCAATTGAGAATATCGTCTTTCATGTGGATGGAGGGTTCACCCCATTGCTACTGGTTTCTCTTCACCATTGTCCATAATATGTGCTAGTACAGCCCTATCCCATACTCTGATGAATCACAAGTTAAAATGAGTTTTTCATCATAGTGTGTAAGACTGACATCATTTGTAAGTAAGCTCTTGCATTAAAAGACTGTTGTTCCTCATTATTCCATTTCCATTTATTTTTCTTGTCTAATAATCTATGTAGAGGCTCCAAAACTGTTGATTTATGAGGTACAAAGCGTTCATAAAAATTATATAAGCCAAGAAACGCTTGAAGCATTCCTTGGAGGTGGCGTGTTTATTATTGCCTCGATATAATATCTATAAATAATGTTATAATCTCCGTACTTTTAGATTTAAAAACTAAAAGTTCTTTTTTAACACAAACATGGTAAACAAACAAACCGACGTGCGGTAAAGTCGTAATTATTTTAAATAAAAAAAAAGACAAAAATAAAATAGTAAAAAACAAGTACTCTACTAACTAAAATATTAATCAACAGTACTTTATATATAAATCTACCACTAAAAACTTTGTAGCCACTTCATATTTCGGTTAGTTTTGGAATTTGTTCAAGTACTTTTTTGCTATCAAAAAACAAATTTTCAAATACAACTAAATAAGAGTATTATTGCATGATTAACGTTTTCAAATAATCAGTCAACGAAACAAAAACAAATATAGGTGATTATTTACATATTAAATTCCTTCTTATACTTTCCATCATAATATAAGATAACGTAGTGTATAATTACAATGTAATAAATAAAATAATCTTCAGTCTACGGAGTTAATAATAGTATATTATAATACTAATATCAGGTAAATATTGACGAAAATATACATTTTTTTAATATTTCTAACATGGGTTTGCATACGATCTCATCTAGTTTGATAGTAATTGGTAACAGAGCATGATTATCCAGAAAATACTTATTCACCATCGACTTGAATTGTCTTAAGCTGTATTTTCTCTAATTTTGCGTTAATAACTCACCTTAACAAAAACTAAAGGCGAGGGCGACCCTCCGAAAAAGTCTTCAATCAACTTCTTTCTACCGATTAACGCAATTGAGTCTGGAAAGTATTTCTCAAAGAAGGCCAACAACTTATCTTCGGTGTCTATACTTTTGAAACTAGTAAAAGGCATAAATAATGTAACTGTCCATGAACAATCCTGGTTGGGTAGAGCAATCATCATAAAGTTACCTCTAGGCCAAATATGTAAATAATTTGCCGGCATCTGAAACTGATAAAAGATGTTCAAGTACAAGCGGGAGTTTGTATAAATTTATTTATTCTTTTTTTTTATACAACTTAGAATGGCAAACAAGCTGACGTTTCACCTGATGGAAAGTGATAACCATCGCCCATAGACATGAGCAGTACCATGGACATAACAGAGTATACTGTCTCGCCCATGATACCCAATATAAAAATCGTACGCAAGATAACATTCTCCTCCAGTCAACCGTTGCGCTGAACGGAGAGAATAAAAGGCGATGCATTGAACTGTCAAATAATGGAATATATTAAGTAGTCTCTTGTGCAGAAACTGTGAAATAACCTAGAAATCTGTTTACTTAAAATGTATTTATAATATTTTTAATAATAAAAAAGAATTAATAGTTGATTCGATTCTCTATCGCTTCATCTGCCACTCTTTATGAATGCGTTATACTATTTTAAATACACACTCACGTGTCAACGTGGATTGCACCACGTCGAAACGTTGACAATAAAGTAGCAGGTATGTAAGTACTATTTACCTGTAAAGGCTTTTTCATCGCGTTAAGTCCCGATTGTGCATTTAAAATATGTGTAAACAACTGGAAAGTTTAAAATTAACTACGTTATAACATCTATACGGGCACAAATAAGTATATTCTGTGAAAAGTCGAATGCGAATAATTATTTATTACTTTTTTTACCCTCACGGCAGATTTAGATACCACGTTTTGGATATTCAATGACCAATATAATAATAAACAATATCGAAGTACACTGGTACATTGTAATAATAACGAAACTAGACTGAGTGTGTTTTGTAGATACTAGTGCTCTAAAGTCACAGTAAATGCATTTGCAATAAAACATAAAATTATAGTAAATAATCCTAAATATTCGCCGTGTAGACCCCGGCATAGAATAGGCCACCCCTTCCTTTCCTGTGGGTGTCGTAAAAGGTGAATAAGAGAACTTAATGGTAGAGAAATTGGCAACAGCGTCCCTCTTAAAATATCACTAAAAGCCTAACTGCAGTTGCCAACCCGCCTGCCAAACATGGCAACTACTGATAAAACTCCCCTTCTAGGGAAGATTTATGTTCAGCAGTGGACAGTTAACGGCTGATATGATGATGATGATGAATCCTGAACATATCGTACATCAACATCTAGTCTCAAACTAAACAGAATTTCTGGTATGTTTATAGTACTGGACATTTGATAAATAGACAAATTTAAAATCCTTTTTTTTTTAATTATACATCTACACGAACATCATTAATACAGTATAAAGTACTTAGACAACTACAAACAAACACACTCATAAATACAAATGTTTGTGGTGTGCGGTCATCGAACCCATAACCTTCGAAAGGTAAGACAGTTTATTAAACTGCTATCAAAGTCATCTGAAAAACTAAACAAGAACATAGAAATAACTCCTCTTATTATAAACTAGCTTTATACCCGCTACTTCGTACGCGAGAATTTCAAACGTAGCATACCCAATGAAAAGAATCACTCTAGTTAACGTTTCAAGATAAAATAGACACCAAATTCCAAATAGACCTTCAGGAATACAACAGTGAATCCGCATTTAATTTGGTGCAAAAGTTTTTACGTGATGTCGAAAGAAACATGCAGAGAGACATACAAAATTTCTAAAAAATAATTTTTTAGCATCTATTGGTCTCATGAAGAGCTCTCATTTCGTTTTTCCTTAAATATCTCTCATGTACTTATAACGTTTAGTGTAACTATATTATTATATTCGTAAAATATAAAAGTGCGGTTGTTTCTTTGAAACCTATTGGTGCTTTAATGATCGTCACGAAATTTAGACTAAATATGGTACTTATACAGTATAACTTATGATATAGAGAAGCACATAAGCTATTTCATACCCCAATCATTCTATATAGTCCGGTTGGACGAAATCGCGGAGACAGCTAGCTAGCTAGCAAATAACAAACATTACGACCATTTACCATTATGCCGGGTGAAGGCTTATTTAACACCTTTGTGGTATAAAAAAATTATGTCTATCAACAATCAATCAATATATTGACGTGAGTGATATAAATCAATTTATACTAATATTATAAATAGAAAAAATTTGATTGTTTGGAATAGATGAAGTCAAAACTACTCAACGGATTTTAAAAATTGTTTCACATTTAGAAAGCTACATTATCAGCGATTAGTAAAGTAACAAAGGCTGTATTATTTTTTATATTCTATTTGCCCGTGTGAAAGGCCGGATTGCCAGTATAAAAAAAATAAAGATTTGCAGCTGATAAGCTCCGCTTGTCAGCTGCAAATCTTAATTTTTTTTATGGAGTCAATTTGCAGATATATGTTGTTATTACAAATATAGATATCAGACATGTATATATAGAATTAACTTTATCTCTGCGTATGCCTAACGATATGCGGTGACAGATCAAATAAACATCGCTTGACTGCGTTCAGGGGATCCCAGAATCGAATCCAAGCCTAAACTTCTAAATTTTATTATTAATAATTTATAAATTTTGTTAGATCAATGCATTGCCATTTACTCTCTTTGTTTGTAGAAAAAGCCATCAGGTATTATGCCTGCCTTGTAGACATTTTAATGTGTGTAAAAGTATAAACAAATAAAATATTGTCATTTATTTCGTGCTTTGGAGAAATCATAATACTGTTATCCGGTAAACCACGTCAAGACATTACGGCAAAAGGCCATCATAAAAAGTCTTGTCACCAAAAGATGCCACCCTCGCACGAATAGTATTTACCGATCCTTGCTCATCAGCTGGTATGCACAGCTCCAAGTAGCCGTGTTCAATGTACTTCTGAGTATAATCGAAGAGAGGCTGCTTCATCATAGATTTACGTACTGCCGAGAACGCACCATCTGCACCGATAATTAGATCCGCTTTCACGTCCACATTTTCCTTCGTGTCTGTCCTAAAGTTAAAAAATACTATATTATTTTCTAATATATAAAATATACAGTCGGTAGTAAATTTTTACCAAGCTAGAACTTATAGTAGTGAAATAAAAATTTTAATCTCCATGTTACCACAAATATATTAATTTTGTTTTATATTAAAAAGTGGAAAAAAAAATATTCACAAGTATAGTCTTAAATAATTATTTTGGTAAATAGAAAAGATTTACCTACAAATAAGTATTAGATTTTTTTTTATGAATCTTAAAAATGGCAACCAAACTAACGGCCCACCTAATGAAGTGACCTATAGACACGAACAGCACCGTGGGCATCATAGAGTATTCTCTATACATTGATGCCTATGATACCCTTCAAGCGTTGCTATTTGTTATGCTTCCGTAACCAATAATTTCATTGCCATAACCCACTCTTCAAATCGAAACTCAGTCATGCAAGCACAACTGTTTCCCAGCACAAACTCAAGTGGGACACAGGTACTCAAGCGAACGACTTTTGTACAAAGTCTTTCTTTGATTATATATATCTACTTACTTCAAAAATGTCAAAGTTCCCTTCTGCAAATTCGCTTCAATTAATTTATGATTGAAATATTTGGTTACGTTCTCATAATTATCGGACTCTGTAAAATATTAAACAAAATAATTTATAATCATATTATAAGAAATATGTAAATAATATGTATAATAGAATATCATATCGTTTGTGCCTACCGTGATAGATATTCATTTAGGTACAAAGCAACTAATTCAGACGTTAGATAAAACAAGCATTGTATCAAGTTATTAATAGTATGAAGTTGGATGTGTACTCAATGATAATAACTATTTTAAATACAAGTTATACTAACGTAAATATTAAATATAATCATACTACGAGTAATGTAATAAAATTGCAACTAGATGATGAGTCCTGGTCTTATAAGATAGACGCACGTCTTATAAAATATACTCTAAAATTATCATTATCAACATCATATCAGCCTGCTGCTTCTAAACATAGGCCAAAATATTTTGTAGAAGTTTTGTCTCTCAGTCTGAACAAACATACAGTCTAATCTGCTCATACGAGTATAATAACTGCTGCACCAAATTGAATGTGGTTTTCACAGTCGTTTTCCTGAAGAACCTAAGTTAAAATTTGGTGTATGTTTCTTTTTGATACATCATGTAAAAATTAAACACACCATCTACTTCATAGGTTTACCTGCTTCTAAAATCTATGTGTACGAAGAAGCAAGCAAAAAGCTAATAAACATATAAAATATAATAATAATATATATAGTAATTTTTCAAAAATTACCTTTTAGGAGTGAAGCATTTAAATAATTTCGCCCAACTGAATAAATACACTGAAATAAAAATTATGCATGAAAATTATTTACAGCATTTTTGTCTATAATTTCTTCTGTCTGATCTATCTAAAATTTATACTATTAGAAATTGCGTTCAAGTCGAGATTATCTAGAATAAATATAATACGTATAAATCTCTTTTTATAACTAAGATGTATTTTTTCAGTATATAAATTGTTCAATAAAGTTTAAATAAAATAATAATAAAATAATTTTAAATGAATAGCATAAATGTTTCAATAAAAACAATTACTTTTTATTTATTTTTAAAATATACTGGCCTACCAAACCGGCAAAAGCCTCCAGATGTTAGCCTATGTTCAGCAGTGAACAATTAACGGCTTTATCATCATCATCATGCTGACCTACAATCATTTGGTATCTCTATACCGTAATAAATAATACTTATAAACACAATAAATAAAATTTTGAAATAAAAAATTACCTGATTATTTCTAGCATCATATGGTATAACATACGTGGATCCATCCAGTCTATGAATTCTTCTTCCCTTCATCGGTATCCCATGTTCTTCTATAATGTGTTGTTCCAAACCTACATCTTTCAAGGCTCTCCTTCCGCGAACTGACAATGCTAAGTTGATAGATCTTCCTCTCACTTGAGGAGTCTTTCTTATGTCTATAATTATAAAAAAAATCTTAAACATTATTTTGACACATTTGTGTGACTGGTACATAGGGTTGTCGTAAGTTTCTATGAAAGTTCAAAACTACCCTAAAGAAATATCTTTATCCCTTTTTTGAAAAACCCTATGAATAACACAGCGCACATCACTGATTTCACTGTGACGCCCATGGTTTTTGTGCTGCCATTTCTAAAGACTAGTGTTATGCCTCCACATCCTGTAATTTGACCATATTCCACCCTTTAAATAGCCATGCAAACACAACTATAAAAACATGATCAAACAATACACATATAAGAGACAATGACGATGCTTATCCAGACTATTCCACCAATAGCTAATGGCTTTTTAAAGAGTGAAACTCTTATCCAGTGCAATCTCTAACACAAGAGTCTTCTTCCTCAGTTTTCATAAATGACAACACGAGAAAAGTGCCACGGCACGATCTCATTTATATATTTTTATATAAATAGATAGATAGATAAATAATTTATTTGCATTACTTACAGCACACAAATAGCAAAAGACACAAATGCAAAGTGAAAAAAGATGAAAAAAGATATATGTACAATAAATAAAAAAAAAATCAAAATGCATAAAATTAGTATTTTTTTTTTCTTCATGCTTATGCCACAGTAATACAAAATGGCCACAACTCAGCTTTTTGCTTTGCCCTAAAAAGAGCAAAACACTGATATTCTGTTGTGGCAAAAAGTGAGCCGCGAAATACCACTGAAAAAAATAATTAAAAAAAAAAAGAAAGAAATATAGATCAAATACATTGTGTGCATTCGTTATATTCGCTATTTAGAAGAAGGGTATTCAGAAGTTAATTTCTATCAGTTTCAAGCACTTAAAACATAATAATATCATTTATATTATTCGATATCGATTACTTCAAACTTTTTAATTAAAAAAGAGTTTTAATTATTGTATTACTCATATACACAATATTATTCCTGCAGTTATCTTTCTCGTAAATTTACAGTTTACATGACTATAATGAGCTGCAAACTATAATACGAGTAATTTTGTATCTAAACGTAAACTATATCTAAACGTAAACGTAAACTATATAACGTAATTGTTATGAACGCAAAATCAACCTAATTATCTCTACAAATATTAAAAAAATATTTACCTTCACGATACTCATAAATGCGTACATTATGGCCTCTTTTAGCTAAATATAAGGCTTCGACAGACCCAACCTGAAAAGTTCAAAGTATTATCAGAACTTCGTAAGTACCTAACTTAACAGTACAAAATGTTTCTATCGAGATAAAATGACGCGTGATAAAATCCGCTAAAGTATTCCCTTTTCTCCTAACCCTTATCTGGCGCTTCTCAAGTAAAGCCTACTTATTTATCAAATACCTACATATATCGCTAATACACTGCAAAATGCAGAAATTGAACATATGCAGATATTTATACCAATATTAAATTATTAACATACGAGTATAAGGGGGAAGAGATTGTTTATCATGTATCTAATAGCCCTATTGCTAGCAATATACCCTAACAGGTCGACCTCCACGCGGTTAGTCCTGGGAACCATCTTGATTAATTCTTGTGAAATTCGTCATGATAGGCAAACTCTCACTAGTGCTCCGCCAATGCATACCAATAACGCAGGCAGGCTTACCATTTCATTTTCACCCATTAAAAAAGAACCTACTGTATAGGCATATTTAAGCCTCCTACGCTCCGAGCCGAGCGGACCGTGCCCACCCCTTATCGGAGCAGAACTTTCAGCTATGCGCAAAGACACGTCTGACAGTACATTATGTGCTTCTATAAGAGCCAATTCCCCTAGAATCTAATAATATGTATAATTTTAAATACGCCAATGACTAAAAGATGTTCAGCACACGCTAAGTTTGAAACAAGACGTTGCCTTCCTCTCTATCTTTATCCTCTGAATAATGGGATAGGCTCTGAGTAGTTTTATGACCTGATGCTATCATCACGTTTTTATACACCTTTCGCCATAGCATTGGAGCTCATCTATATTTTTTGGATACGTAAAAGACAACTACTGTGCGATGTTCCTTTATCTTACATGTGGATTATGGAATGGACTTCCCTTTAAGGATTTTCTTTTTCTCTTGTACTACAATATGTTTTAAAAAAGTACCTACAAATTTATAAAACGCCCGCAATGCACTATTGACATCTCTAATGTTGTAATTGTTCATGAGTGACGTTAGCCACTTTTTATTAAATTGATCGTTGACTTGTTCGCTTCCCAAATTATAAAAAAAGAAAAACACTAGTTCTTTTTCATTGTTCTTAACAAATTTGGATTATAAGACTTTATTATATATTTTGTTCAAAATAAGATCCAAACTAATGCAAAATTCAGTGTATTTTCCTGATAGGTGTCACAACAAAATGAAAAATCCACTTTGAAGTGTAAGAGCATACCCACAATATTTGTTTACTAGAAATATTTAATCTTTATAAATAATATGTCCATAATTACATCAGCAATCGTTAGCGTTGTTGATTCGTATGAACATATCTTCTACAAGATAAATATTAGATATAGTCATATAAATACCTAAACATTACTATATCTTACTAATATAAAAAAATGTATGAATAAAATAATTTGTCTGTACATGGTAGATATTTAAGAAAAATTTATGTAAGGGAATTTGATAAGAGCAATAGAAGAATAATAATATTTTTTTTAGCAAGATTGTTTGTCTATGTGTACATATGTTCCCACATCACGCAAAAACTATGCAGTAGGTTAAGGGATTGTTAGTTATGCGGACCACCAGTTCCATTGCTAGCAATATATCCTGTTAGGTCAACATCGTATTTAATTTTGTATCCATAGAAGATTTTTTTTTAGATTACATCAATCCCGCATTCAATTATCAGTCGTGTCATTTTTTATAAAATGACTCTAGTTTCACTTTAGTTGTACATTGTACACCCAGATGTCCACGATCTGAGAATCCAATCCTTATTAATATTATAAATGTAAAACTGAGTTTGTCTATTCGTTTGTTAACTTTTAGCGCCGTAACCGGCTACCTTATCAGCTATCACTATAAAATTTGTTATGCACGTACTACATGCTACATGGGATAGAGAAGGACCAATGGTAGTTTTTATCTTAATCAGTTAACATATCCCGCCCATGCGGACGAAATCGCGGATAAAAGCTAATTATTAATAATATTTACATACAAGCAATAACCCATGGATCCCGGGGGGAAAGGGATTGTTAGCAATGGAGTTTGACAGCCCCATTGCTAGCAAAATGCCCTATTAGGTCGACCTCCACGTGGTTCCTCTTGGAAACCATCGTTAACAATTCTTGTTGAATTCGTGACAATGGGCTAACTGACCTGCTTCATCCTCATCTATTATCCTTCACTGGTACCCCCGCCAGTGTATACCGTTAGCGCGGGGTAACCATTCCATTATCATCAATTAAAAAAATCCCACGGGTCCCGTTAGCACAGGCGGGAATACCATTCCATTACCATCCCTTAAAAAAACTCACGAGTCCCTTTCATCTTCATTTATCACCCCTCACAAGTTCCTTGCCACGAAGCAGGACAGAGGTATACCGATAGCACAGACGATGTTATAAGATTATTGCATTATTTAGACATGATTAACAAAACTAAAATCCTTACAAATTTTCACATTTGTATTATAGCAGTTTGGTATTCGAATTACTCTTCCTACCCCACAATAAACATCGAGAAAAAAAAACTTACCAAACCGCCACCTACGATTGCAATATCCAACGATCCCTTCGCATGTTCATTGTTCAAAGCCATTTTCGACACTAAAGCACACTAAAGAATTTAATTAAACAAGCCAATTAAAATAATTTCAACTGTATATTTTTTTTTTAATAAAAAACTTTTTAACATAAAGTTTTTAAATACACGCAGTAATTAATAATATGCCGCGTGACTAAGGCGCATACCCAACTGAACAGCACCGCAAGCAGACATCTAATGCGTGTCGCATATTTTAATGTAACCAATTGATGCTGTGTATTGATATTTGAACTGACGGCAATTCGTAGTATATATTACAGTATAAATATTTATCAAGATTACAGAGCACGCTGTTTATACTTTGTTTAAGTTAGATTTACTAGTTTATTCTAGATTTTAATTATAATACTAAATATAATAGGTACATCAAGTAATAGATAATACTTACGTTAATAGCAAAAAAAGAATCGATATCTTCATTTTTTTTTTAAATGTAAAAGATTGATGGATAGATGTTTATTACTCTTTCACGCATAAACTATTAAACGAATTTAAATATATTTGATACATGGGTAGGTCATATTCTAACTTAGGACTTAGGATACTTTATGTACTAATTCACGAATGCAGAGCCACAAAATACAGTTAGATACATATAAATAAGTATTGCACTTATCTGCTATTATCATATCATAATGTGAACGTAAATACGGTATATGCCCAATAAATTTATTGCCTAAAAAAGTATGAGATGATTTTCCAAATCGTTTATTGTGCTTTGTCTATGCTAAAATATTGTAATCTTTCCCCGATTCTACAATTTCGCTATCATATACACGAAATAGAAGACAGTAACATTTAACAACTTATTCATTTCTATAGTGCGTTAACGAAAACGTATCTAGCTTTGTCTGCTTAAAAGTCATGCCCATTAACCGTTAAATTTATAATTTTAAAATTAAAAATTACCCATAGGTAAGTAGAAAATTTCTATCGATTGCTGTTTTCGAGTTTGATATCTAGCCCATTGTCATTTCACCTTGATTATTCTTCGAATCAAATCGATCGTTTTAGCTTTTCTGCATACGTCCTCATTTCCAATCCTATCACGCTACTACTGTATTTATTCTTTTAATACTCTCAGAAAAATTAACATCATAATTTGAAATACATTGTTTCATTATAAAGGGTAAGTAAAAAATATGAATTTTGTATAATGCCCATTCAATGCAAATATATTAACGATCTTCGTGTCATTCACGAATTTTATTTCAATGAATTAAGTAGGGTATTCGGATTTCAAAATCAAGTATTTTAAAGAAAAACTAAATGCAGAAAATAAACCGTGTTCTACGCATATATTACGTGCCACGCGATTTTTTAAGTTTCTCATCCGCGTAGTCAAGCAGTAAAGATATCTGCAAAAATCGACTGTTCAAAAAAAGAATCAACCACGTTTGACACATACCTACATATTTTGACCATGTAGTCTACCACATACTTGCGTATACTGTTATAAACATCATATACTTACATAGTAACATGATATAATTACTTCCAAAAAACAGCAATATTCATAATATTAATACTAGATTTAAAGACAAACTTGCTGTCCCCAAGTATCGTTTAGAAAAAGTTAATAGGTCTTTTATGGGAATAGGTATAAAAATTTACAATAAGATACCAAAGGATATGTTGGAATTACCCAAATAAATTCAAAACATCAAATCATATTTTCCATCACTAAACGATTACTTGAATGACGAGTGTTAATAGTTGTTCATGCACGAATTTTCATTTAATGTTAGACATAGACAATGTAAAAGCCCTATATAAATATACATTGTAAATAAACTGGCTTTAAAAAAAAAAAAAGTTTCAATTGAGTTTCTTGCCAGTTCTTCTCAATTGATCTATATACAACTGCCAAAATATAAAATTATAATGTAAAAATTTGACGTTCATAAGCGGCTAAAATGTCCTACATGAATAAATGATTTTTGAATTTGAATTTGAATTTGAATTTAGTATGTACCTACCAAATATAATGCAGGAATACCTTAGTCATAAGAAGTAGCAACTCAAAAGAGTGCTATCCGCCATGGTAGGTGCAAATCCATCCACCCATCAATGTATTTTCCATCAAATTTGGTGTTAATAAGTTTGCACGTTCACAAAATGTAAAAGCTACCTTTTCACCAAATTCCTTGCATTACGAGATTGACAGAACACTGCCAAAGGCCGTATCCTTACATACATCTTTCGCTTCACACACTTTCATAACTCGTCACTTGCGTATATCCAAGATTCAGGGACTCCCGAATCCTCAACTTATTTTCACATTATTAGAATCTTTACATCCGTACTTACTCGTATTAGAAAATGGAAGTCAACGCCGCGGCACTGATACTTGATACAAAGCCGCAGTTTTATATTACCGGTCTACAGTATACGGTCCGGCTAAAATCAATAAGGTTTCAATATAATCGAGCACCCAACCGTAAATCAAGAATTTACTATCATTTTTCTAAATATTTTGACAAAAGGCTCGTTTCCCATTGGTAAAGGCAAATAGGCAACAGCCCAATCTGCCATTAACAAACAGGAAACGAAACGGGATAGTAAAAAGGAACGGTAAGGATTTTGATATTAGTGATAATTATAGTTTGATATTATTATGAAAAATAAAGTAAGCCAAGGAGTTATAGGTCAAAGGGTTAGGATAACACAAATATGTTTTTAAAGAACTTTCGCGGAATTGTTTTTGAAGAACGAAGTACAGTCCTTGTCAATATTTATGTTCGTAAAATCGAACACAGTGTACACAAGAGGCTAGTATGGGTGTCCGACTAATTGACAGTTTTTTTTTTTTCACCGATGACTAAAACTTCGTCTACGTTGGCCTAATATTCCAATGTGTCATACACTTTTGTAAAATAAATGTAATTAGCTTAGTATTACTGACAAGGAAAATTTTTCAGTTGAAATCCAGTAATCATTAAAATAATAAGAGAAATATCTACTTTATATAAAATCCACTAAGAGCACTTTTTAAATAATTAATCAGAAATGTTAAAAATTGTTTAATTGTTTTTGAAAACTAAACTTCTATGTTCGCACTCTTCATTAAGCTTCGGTACTTATTGAAATGATACACATTATTAAATTTATTAAATATCTATATTTCTTTAAATTATTCCTTATTTTCTAAATAGATTTGATTCAAGTATGTTCAAATATTGAAGAAACGCATTATTAAACTTTTAAATTTTCGCAATTGTTTTTACAATTAGTATACATAGTTAACAGCTTATTACCACGATTATTTATGTTTTGACCATGCCGACATGTTGAGCATGTTGCAAGAGTCCAGAGGGCCTACCATGAAATGTTTTCCAAAATTTCGGGGCCGAACGAAACAGAAATTAGATAATAAAAGTACCTACATGATACGTACCGTTTAAAAAATATTAAAAAAACATTCCTTCAGTCTTTTATGGTAGGATTTATGACGAATTAAATAATAAGCTCCATTTTCTGAGCCGATTTCAGTATGAAAAAAAAAAACACGAAATTGAGGCCGAAAATTCGGAATTTCAGTCCAAGGTAGACCCCATGGTCAGGTGTAACTGATGAAACATGGATATTACTTCAAAAGTTTTCCCTCTTTCTTCTACATTAACTAACATCTGGAACAATACTAGCCATAAACTTAGTATAACATACTACATACTGATAAACTGGCAATCACAAATACGAGACAGGAAAATGATTGTTTACACTAGTGTGTGTTTTGTAAATGTGTGCATGAGACAGATCAGAATTTATATAGAATTGAAGTTACAAAAATAACAAGAACTCACATACTCGTATCCCGCAATCTAAGATTGGAATTTACTCCAAAAACACCTCGACAGTAACAATACAGACACGCTCAAACAAATAAATATTCGTGGTAAGAAACAGTTATTTATAAGTGTAATGATTATAAATAAAATTCAAACTTTTATATTAACGACCTGCATTTATTTTAAATGAATTCTAGAATATTCTGTCACCTAATAATAAACAATTACAAAAATACTTATTTTCTTATACCTAATACTTATTCTATTAGTTGATATGCCAACGCCCTAATTAAATGCTTGGCTCTAACATTTCACTTAACTGAACAGTCTCTTTAAATGATTCTCGATTCTTTGTGCTTTGTCCATATTAAATGAAGACATATTTAATATTCACAAAGCATAAAGAATCATTAAACAAAAGATCATTAAAATCGTCGCTACAATAATAAGCAACGGCAACGTCATCACACTTGCACAATATACAATAGTTTAATTATCACAATCTAAAATAATTATATATCACAATAAACGACAGATTTTGAATAGAATTCCAATATAAAAAGCAGCACTAAAAATGTTTTTTTTTTTTTTTATTAAATAAATTCTATAGGACAAGACACTATCACGTTACCTATTAATAATAGTGGATATAAGACTACATAATAGTCAAGGAGAGTGTCGCTACCTAGTGGTTTACCTATTATAGACCACAAAACAGCCACACCATGGGCTATGATTGATTGATTGATTGATGATTGATTGATTGATGAATGAAGGGTTTGTTCCTAACACTGATGTACACGATGAATTTAAGTATGCTCTATGATTTTTGGCAAATCAAATATTAGTCACTAGTCGACAAAATCAAATACTGTTTATGGTAACCTGGTGATAATTTCAGTATGCATAGATGGATACTGATACAGAGATCTGTAACTCTGAAATTACTTGACAATCGGTTATTATGAATCGATTCTACCGATTCAATTATATAATTTGCAGCGAAGCTTGTTTTAAATAATATTTAATTATTATTCATCAGCATTTAACCCATTAGCAAAGTAAGAAAATGTTTTATGTATATTTACACTTTTAAAAAATCACTCTTAACTAAATGCTCTGTCCGTTCTCATCTCAAAAGCTCATATTGCTAGGCATCGACGAAATGTCTTCTGAGGGGCTTTGACTTGAGCTGAACGAACTGAGTGTTTCCCGTGTTTCCTCTTTGATTTTAAGGTGTTCTGTACTGGACGGCGGCCGGGGTGGTAATGAACGGTCTTTATGCTCCTTGTCTTTGGACGACTTGTCCTTGCTGCTGTGCTTATGTTTGTGTTTGTGCTTATGCTTCTTCTTATCCTTTTTCTTCTTCTTTGCCTGTGTAACGATAAAATAAATAATTAAGAGTGTTCATACCGAAGCTTACCGACGTATATCCATGTCCCAATTATTTGTCAATTTTCAATAATAATTTAAAAATATTTGGATTCTTGTCTGTCACTGAAAAATTAAAGTTTAATCCCAAAAAAGTATTTCAACACTTCCAAAGCAAAATTATAAAGTAGATATAAAATTTGTGGTATATTTATGTGCAAATTACGTTAAAATTAACATTTTAGTTTGTTACCAAAGCATTTTCTATTTATAATCATTTAGTAATATTGAAAACTGTTAACAAACATTGACAGACAATTCTGACGTTGCTACATTTTTGCAAGCTTCGGTATAAACGCTCTTAATGATATAAATATTAGACACTAGGATGATAATAATTTTGTATGGGAATATCATAGGTAAAAGTAAACCCCATTAATCCTATAAGGAAATGACTACAAAATTCACGAAGGTGTAACTTACTATACAAAAAAAAATTGAAATTGTATGAAAAATGCCACATTTCAAATAATGATACTCTCCATTAATAGATAGTTAAGAAAAATAGTAGTAGTTTTACCTTAGGTGCGCCCATGTCATCCCTATCGTGGCTAAACATTCCCGGTTCAAAACCAATTGGACCAGAAGAGCCCGGAATACCAGGCAATGGGACAGCATTATCTGATGTGAACTCCCTCTTTGCAGCATCCTAATAATAAAAAACAAACACTATTAAATATTAAATATTAAAAAAATATATTGTTGAGTAATAAATATCTTGAGTCATACTGCGCGACCAGCACGCTGTTTGTCATTGCGCGCATTGTAGTACTGTTCGTGACACAGTCCTGAACTACGCTCATGAATAAAGGCTACTATTTCGTTAGAAACTAGCCAGGCGTCCCCAAATTTAAAACGTGAATAGAACCGACATAAAATATTACGAAAAATAATATATATATATTTTTTTTATTTTCATTGCTTTTGTACTTAATGGCTTTTTTTATGCAACTTAGAATGACAAACAAGCTGACGGTCCATCTGACGGAAAGTGGTAACCGTCGCCTATAGACATGAGCAGTACCATGAACATAACAGAATATACTGTTTTGCATGTTATATATAATATTTGGCATGGTTACTTACATTGAAAACAGCTCCGGGCATATCATGAACGGTAGTTACATCCACCTTCACGTCCTCCTCTTTAATGCTGGAGATCGGGACTGGCAATATGTTGCCTATGCGCTCAGGCTCCGATAGTGGCGGCACGAACGACCCTGATTCCTGAAGTGGCCCAATTTCTGTACTATATTTCACCTATAAATACAATTAAATATTAACAAGCACATTCAAATTTCTTTTAACTACATTCAGGTGAATTCCTTAGTTCTAGAGCTAGGATACTATATGATATGTAAAACAGGACATATGTAGGATACAATGTGAGGAAAATTAGTTTGACAAACACCTAAGAATTGAATGCGAAAACTCATTTATGCACAACAATGTGACTACCCCACTTTATATTAAAGTCGAACTTAATATTTCCTACCCATTTTAAAGTAGTGCACATAATTGTTGCAAGCCCAAAAAAAATATTATAAAAGTATATAATATGTACTTAAAAATTATACTACATCTACTTACAACAGCATAACTAAAATAATATCATATCTCACTCATAAAATAAAAACAAACATATATAAATATACAAATTAACTCACATCTTCAATCTCTTTTTTTATAACAGGTTTCACTTCCAACTCTTTCTGTCTCTCTTTTTCTTTCTCCCTCTCCCTTTCCCGTTCAAGTCTCTCGCGTTCCTTATGGTGCATCTGTTTCATCATGGCCTGAATCTCTGGCAATGGTACACATATCGGCCTCTTTGGACCATATAATGTGTAATAGAGATCCACAAGGTCGCAACGTAGTCGCGCGTCGTTTGACAAATGGCTGTTTATGTTGTTCCATAATCTGTAAATATATTACGGTGTTTAGTAATTTTTGTCAATTGTTATAAGTAACGTCTCCAATTCCCATTATTGATTAACCATTGGTACACATAATATAAACCTGATAATAATTTAAAAAATTTTAGTATTAAAATCAAAACAAGGAGATTTACAGTGGCCCACTTAGCTCTGCCACCTGTAGCTTAACTATTTTAAAAATTAACTGTTTTTAATTATTCTTTTTTATTCCGAAAGGGTTTACTCCTATGTCAGACTCATACTATTTTTTTAACAAGATTAAATTGTAATTTGTAATTACACTACTAACCTATGAACAACGGCTTCGGTGTCGAGTCGGTGCCTCTGGGCGCGTTCAAACGGCGGATTGCTTATGAGCAGTCGCGCTAACCCATGCCGGACGGCCGGGTCCGGGTCGCCCTCCACGGCCGTCAGTAAGTATGACAGGTCCTCCGGCTTGCCATCCACCCGGACGAAGTCTACCAAGCACTCGAAAGCGGCGATCCTGACATCTGCAGTAAACATATATTTTCAATCACCCATAATAGAATTCATTATATAGAAAAATTGTCTACTTAAGTAGCTTTGCCCAACTCATGTTTCTTCTATGAAGCAACTGTACTTACACAAATATGGTGTAAAATATTAAAATATTATTATGTAACTAAAGTAAGTGTAAGTAAAAAATTCAGAAATAATGGAAACCAAATAAGTGAATATAATATCTGAATGAATTGAATTCATTAGGAAAATAAGGCAGCCATTTATACGGTAATTAGCAAGCAGGCATAGGGGTTTGTCAATTCAATTGTATTAAAAATCACATAATTTGTTTTCAAGTTTACCACAACTAGACTTACCAATATATTGTCCATATTGTGCATACGCTCTGAATATGGTGGGAATGCTTGGCAGATGTCCGCATTGTTGCAGTCGCCTTATCGCACGTAAGCAGCTGACGGTAACCGTGTTCTTATAGCACGGTAGTACTTTTTCCAAATTTAATACTCGTGTAATCTCTTCTAATACTAGCCGGGTATCAGCTGATAGCGAATCCGCTGTTATTGGTGCCCCCTGTATGATTTTTTAAAAACAATATTCAAATTATTACATCTTGCAAATTACGAGGACGCATGGAATTTATTTGTGGATAATTGTGTACATGCATATTTTAAGCACGAACGATATCATGTATATATCCTACTAATATTAGAAATTTAAACATTTGTAAGAGGACAATCATTAATTACGTGCTTTTTTTTATCGCTGTCCCCTACTTTCTCATAAATAAAAAAAACTATGATATAGGGTGACCTACTCTAATTGCGGAAAGACGCCCTTTAAAAAGTAAAATTTATCCAACATATTGATGTATTTTGCTTTATCAGCTTATTTCAGAGAAATAAAAGAATGACTTTTTCAATAACCCTCATCATTAATGATGAGTTTTGGTGAGTTTCCCAGACAATCTCATTGAAAAGCCAGGAAACTCAGCAAGCCAGGAAGGAAAGAGTTCGAACAAAATAACACTTATTTTATATTCTAATAAAATAAAATAATGATTAGTTCAATAGTTTACTTACCGGCTGTAATACAGATATAACTGGCGTAATGGTTGCTGCAAGAGCGTCGACCAGCGCCGCTTTGTAATAGTTGTCGGAGAAATGGTTTTTGGAATTATCATTGTATTTAAAGAGATCGAGTAAAAATCTCACAACTTCGGGTGGACAAATGCCGTGAATATTGCGTAGACCTAAGGGATGGACAAAAATAAAATATTAATACAAACAAATATATAATATGTTCAAATGGAGTAGTCAGAGACATTAATCAACTGCCTCAACAGTTAACACTATAACTGCTATATTACCAGAGAAAGACTTTGTATAAAATTCGTTTGCTTGAGTACCTCTGGCCCATTCGTGTTTCTACCGTGAAGCAGTTGTGTTTGCAAGGCTGTGTTTTAATTTGAAGGGTGGGATACGGCAATGAATTTAAAAGGTACAGAGGAATAACATCAAATTCCTGAGGAATGGCAGCACATGGGGGGTATCATGGGCAAAACAGTACACTGTTATGCCCATGGTACTGCTCATATCTATAGGCGACAGTTACCACTATTCATCAGGGGGCTGTCAGCTTGCCATTCTAAGTTATATAAAAAAAAATTGATAAGCATATTGGAATCCATCATGGTAAGGACAAACTAAATAAGTTTTAAGTCTTCACCTAATAAGAATTATAGATTAAGAGCAAATTAAAAAATTAAACAGAAATAATATTTAAATACATCATTGTATTGATTAATCGTTTATGACTAATACATTTATTTTATACTGTTATACTCATAGAAACTATAGTACTACCAATTAAGATGAAACTAACGACTCCTCATTTATTTTAACTGACTAAAATTGGTTCAGAACAGTTCTCTTTTTTTTCCCATAAATTAACACAATTTACAAAAAAACAAATAAAAGCGAGCACTGCAATAAACTTTCTTTAATTTAAATTTTTGTCACGTTTTGTGTAACACAAAACCATTTTAGCATAACAATACAATTCACTCACCAGCCATAGCGACAGGGATGGTCTTCTGCAAGAAGTAGTGCTGCAAATTGTCGAAATTGTTCTGCTTGATGATATGTGGTGCGGAAAACGAACCAAACATCTTGCGGAATATCGTCAACATGGCCGGCGGGCCCGCCCATGTACTGATCATAGCATTAGCTACCTGTGATGCAAACATAACACGGTTTAAAATAGTTGTTTATTATTATATTTGTCTCTTATGATATGGCAAATCCCTTGGTACTAAGGGATAGGAGACTGTTAGTTCTAGGGACTAGAGACCCCATCGCTCGCAATATATCCTATCAGGTTAACCTCCACGCGATCCTGCGTTGAACCTTCATTATTAATTCTTGTTGAAGTCATAATGGACTAACTAAAATGACCTGGTGGTCTACCATGAAAAGAAATTTCGAATTTTCGGGCTCAATTTCGTGTTTTGTTCGTACCGAAATCGACCTAGTAAATGGAGTTTAACATTTTGTTCATCATAAATCCTATCCTAATAGTCCAGAGGAACGATATTTTAACATTTTAAACGGCATGTTTTATGTAATTTTAACATCCAATTTCTGTTTCGTTCGTCTCCGAAATTTCGGGAAATATTTCATGGTAGGCCCCCTGACTTCAACCTCATCTATCAAGCTTCAGTACTCAGCCAGCATAAACCAATAGCACAAGCAATGTTTCTATTACGTTTTAATTCCATTAAAAACTTAGTTTAGACATACACAATTGAGCATCCATTCCTTTACAAATGAAAGCTTTAAAAATAGTTTTGAAATCATAACACACCTTGGTCAAACAATGTGCCGCCCTACACCGTATCTTGTAATATGTCTGTTCATTCTCTATGGTATCAGTGAGGGCCTTCCTTGTAGCTGACTCTGGGTAGTTGTGCAACGCATCTATAGCTTCGCTTTGTGCAGTGACGTCACGCTCGTGACGCAACTGGTACTGCCACTGGTAGTCCGGCTGCGATATCACCGTACTTCGCAGGAGTGACATCTCGGGATCAAGTCGTATCCATAGGACGGGGGAATCACTGATAAATAACAATTGCAGAATATTATTACAATTCTGTACATTTTATTATGAATAATAACTATCATGACACAGTATTTTATAATTATTTATATTTGCTTTATTTGCATATTAAATTTGGGAATACCTGAATAGTTTTGGTCTCAAGACCGTATCGCAGGCGATCCTTATATCCTTATACATTGCTACAAATTAAAAAATATATATACATTTTTTAAAATACTTACTCCATGGCCGACAGATCCATATCGACCTCTTCTCCCGTACACAACGGAATCTTCTTTTTCTTGTTCCGCCTACTCTTACTGTGGCAGGTAATGTCCGCTTTCACCACCGTGTTTTCAATCTGCAACGTGTGCTTGAACGTGCCGTCCAATTCCTGCAACTGGACCAGCAAGGGACCGACGTACTTCCTAATGCCCCGTTCGTGGACGCAATCTTGACGGATTTCCAGTTCCACTGTGTTCCTGTGTGCAACATTATAATATTAGAGCAAAATGTGACATAATTTATTCCACTAAATATTTGATCCTTCGAGTATGGCAACATCACACATATAATAATGTTGATTGACTGGAATTGCCAATGTCCCCCTCTTTCACACAGTATGTATATACCAAATTTCATGACAATTGGCATTAAGACACCAAGATGTAACAAACCAACACACTTTTCCATTATATAAATAAGTATCAGATGGATACATACATTATTTTCAAATTTATTCTTCTATAGTGGTAAAAATATAGACAAAGTTAAGGTGAATTTAGCCTATAGAAAAAAATTCTTGTTGTGAAATTTTTTATATTAGTAAACATATAAAAAAAATATATTTTTTTTTGTTTTTTAGTTTATTTTACAATAGAAGTATTGCAACAATCTTAATACAAATGATCATTGTCTTAAAAAATAGCAAAACTAACAAAAAAAGAACCGGACAACTTATTTACCCAAATTTTTGGCTACAACAACTACAAGCATAGGCGTATTTAAAAGAGGACCGGAAGAGCCGTGCCCACCCCAGTATAGTTTTGAGCCTATACCAGATATCATAGCTTCGCAGATATGTCTAAGATTACATGTGCGCCTTTATTAAGGGACCTGGCCCTCCTGGAAAATAATCTTAACTACATCAATGACCGCAAGATGAATATGTATGAGTAAACATACCTTTTTCTATTGAAAACAGATGTCAACTGAAATTTAGCATGGCCGCCGGTGCGCACCCACTGATCAACGAACACGGCCATGTGTTTGCCCGTCACAGTGAATATCGCCTTCACAAATGAGTTTGTGGACAGTAACAACTGTCCCCACAGCCGACTGCCGATCTTCGTGTTGGCAGCCTGCGTGGCCAGCGAGAGCTGCTTGTTGAATACTTGCAGGAGCAACTCCTGACCAATACGCTGTTCCAACATCCGAAGTACTAGATGTGATTTTTTGCGCATCACCTGGTTTATAAACATAAACAGCAAATGAGAATGTAACTCATTTAAATATAAATATTATATATACAAAGTGATCATGCTAGTCTATTTCTTTCTGATTATATCATCTCTGTCCCATTCGTGTTTCAACCGTGAAGCAGCTGTGTTTGCATGGGTGTGTTTCGGTATGAAGGGTGGGAAATGGCGTGAATTTACTGGGTATAGAAGAATAACACCTGAGTCCTCAGGAATGGCAACACATAGGGTATAATGGGCGAAACAATATACTCTGTTAAGTCCATAATACTGCTCATGTCTATAGGCGACGGTTACCACTTTCCATCTGGTGGACCGTCAGCTTGTTTGCTATTCTAAGTTGTATAAAAAAAATTATCATATCATCCATCCCTTAGGGGATTTTGCCAGTAGTTGCTACACATAGCAGGTAGATTGGCAACCGCAATAAGGATTTGGAGATGTTTGGAGATCCTTAGTCGCCTCTTAGGACACCCCCGAGATTGAAAGCGGTGACTTATTGTATGCCGGAACCACACGGCGATATTTGGTTGTATATTGATTTAAATTCAAATTCATGACATTCAAAGTAATTATTAATTGATTAAGTATTTATAACGCCTTGACTAAATACAATATAATATAGTAAATAATTCTATTTACTAATTCATAAACAAAATTTACAAAAATATTATTAATATGGATTGTCAATTTACACCATTACTTAGGTTGTAAAGATTTCATTTTAACGAAAAAAATTAGCTTCTCTTTCTTCAACCGTAATAACCTTATTTTATAAAAATGAAATAAACTGTATATAGACACCTACCTCCATATATCTCGGTGACATGGTATGCACATTGCGTACAGGAAAATAAAAGTCCTTTGTATCTGCACGTGCTCCTGTAGCAGGCGGCTGCCATGGATCTAGAACTATTCCGCCATATTGTTCCTCATAACTTACTACCTGATGATTGTACAAAAAAAGAGTTACACAGAAAACAGTATTTATAAAATTAAAAAATTAAGCTTGAAAGAAAGAATTGAAATTCTACAATATATAGATTAAAAATAGACGTTCTATCTTACTAATATAGTAAAATTGTAAATACTCAACATCTGTACTTGAGAAATGTATAAGAAAAATTTATATGACCTTAAGAGCAATCAAAACCAATAATTTTTAGAAATTTTGCCTATATGTTTGCTTGCATGTCTAACTTAAAAACTGGTGTATGTTTTATCTTGATATGCTACCCAAAAGTGGTCCATTTCTTTGTTTTTTCTACTTCTGAATTTCAGGCATACAAAGTAGTGAGCAAAATGCTAGTACTAAGTTTAGTAGATGAGCAATGTTTTTTAAAAATAAGTAAACAACTTACCTCTTGTAACTCTTGATGTATCCAATACCTGTACTCATTATTACCAAAACACTTTTTCGCATACAAGGCACACAAGTAATCAGGTATACCCTTTGCTAACCACAGATCAGACCAGTTCTGCATAGTGATGAAACAGCCGAAAAATTGTTCGGCCACTGCCTGTGCCATAGCTTTGCGGCTTATGTAGCCCTGGTCAATAATAGCTATAGAATGAAGTAAATGTGTGCTCATTATTGACATCGTAGTATAAGCTGTTGCGTCGTCTTCTGTCTGAAAGGAGACATTGTCATGTAACTATTTTACAAAATACATATTAAATTATCTTGACCCATAAATTTTGGGTATTACTGTCTTACTCGTATTCATAGGTCTTTAGAGAGAAAAGTAGTGGACTGTGCCCACCTTACAATAATCAGCTGCCCGCCCCGGAATAAATAGTGGCACTTTCAGCTATAGACAAGAAACGTCTAAGAGTACATATGCACATTTTGTAAAGGGTCAAGCACTCCTTTAAAAATAATCTTAAATACACCTGCTGTGTTTACATTGGTGTATTTCAATCTTAAAGATTGGATATAATAATGAAACTAAAGGGTACAAAAACATAACACTATAATGAAAACCATCAACTATAAATATAAACAACACTATAAATATTACACAATATACTGTCATGCCTATGGTACCCCTCATATATGTATGGAACATATACATAATAGCTGGAATAATGATGTATATACAATATATAAAATGAAATGAAAGTAAAGCTGCCAAGCACCAGTATTCTTACTATGCCCACACTTAACATATAGATTTTGGATATTTATGTAATTAAATACTTACTTCATCAACAAACACTTGTTTGTAGCAAGGGTATGGATACCTAGTAGACAATGTCTCTTCATAGAACCCAACTGCCTCGTGTAAAGTTCTTACTGTGTTTTTCAATATTTGCATTAAATTTGGCAAACAGTAATGTGTAAATTCATTCATGAATGGGTCTACATAAGCTTCAAACGGTCTGAAAAATATATACTTTTATGAAGATATACCAATTTGTATGTCACACAATACATGTAATACACATATGGTAATGAAGTCATTTGATTAAAATAAATTGCAATTGAATTGATGACAATTTTTTTATAAATAGATAATATAATTAAGATTTAAATTGAAAAAATAAGTTCGAATTTAGAAAAAAATATAAAAAAATAGAAAAGACATTTAGATCATAGCTAAATATAGTGAAATATATTGGACCTGTTAAGAGTGTTCATAACAAAGTATGGTATCTGTCAATTTTCAAAAATAATTACACATTTTTCAATTTTTTCGATTATTTATTTAAAAAGTGCTCTGTAAACTAAAAAAATTAATGATAGAATATACTGCATATAAATGGATTTTAATCTTTGTACCTAAAGTAGGTATGTATATTTTTCTTTGGAATTTTTCAAATGCATTTTTACCACCAAAATCCACATTTTCAGTGAGGACTTTATAACAATATTATTACATAATTAACATTTTAATTTGCTAGCAGAATACTTATTAAACAATCAGTCAGAAACATTGAAAATTGTTCAATTATTTTTTAATATTGATAGATTATTACAATATTTCCACACTTTAGTAAGCAAAAGTTATGAACACCTCTTCAATAATATTTTCTTTAATTTTATAAAGTACTTACCCAATAGCCAATGCTATATTAGGTGCACAAGCTGGTGTGTTCACAACATAATGAAATGTTTTCCGCCTATGATCTGGTGTGTATACCACATCAACCAACTCTCCACATGATACAGCTGTTAAAGTTTCATCTACTGTGAACTCCAGTTTCCATGTGCAAGGCTCTGCATAACTGTCAACACATGGAAACCATAGACGTGCAGAATGTCCATAGGTAAACATATGTGCTGATTTCTAAAATTAAATTAAAAAATAAACTGATTAAAAATTAAAATAAAGCCAACATAAATAATTATAATACAGAATAACTTGTGATAGTTATTATTGAACAAATGTAATATTTTTAAATTTAGAAGTAGACCTTAAATTATACAGTTTTATATTTGTTCTAGTGATTCCTTTGCTATTTGCAAAAAAAAACTCAATATTATAGGAAAGCAAAGTTATATGGTACTATTGAAAATTATTCAAATTTAAAATAAAATTTGTATAATAAATTTTAAAACACAATTTAAAACTCCAAAAACAAAACAAATCATGTCAATATATAAATTTAATATTACCTCCACCAAAGTTCCTTCTCCCTCAGGTACAACAAAATGCATCCCCCCCTGGGGTGACTCCAATGAAAATTCAATTCCAATTCTAAGACCTCTCCCTTCTCCAATCAAGTGAGCAGCATCTTCTGGGATTTGTACATGAAGTTCACCAGAGTTATGGTCTGGGTCTATCTTCTGGGCCGCAGCCAGATGGTACTGAGAGAATACTTCCAAGGACCTCCTGTTTCATAATTGTTTAATTACATCATAAAAAATAAAACTACTATATAAAATTTAAATATCATTAAATTTTTAATTTATATAAATAGTTATTACATTTTACTACTTCTTTACACACAGTTAATATTTTTATGTGAAGCATGGTGGAGAGAGATACTGTATGATAATATATGAATTATATGCAGTCTTAATTTGAAGAATTGATTTAATTGTGATAAATATTTATCTGTGGGAGTGGGACACATCCATTGACATGAATAAAAAGTAGTCTATGTCCATCTCCAATCCAAATACTACATATTTTTTATATAGGTACTAAATTTTATAATTAAGTCATAAGACACCAAGAGATAATAAACATTATTTATTAGAATGTAAATACTCACGTATTGGGATCAGTTTGACATATATCCAAAAATGGGTCAAAATACTGGAAATTAGCATCATATTGATCATTCAAACAAACACGATATATACGGCACTGTTTAGCATTGAGGCGAATGTACCTCAAGTTGTCTTTTAGGGGTACTATAGTTAACTCCACGAAGCCCTGAAATATTTTAAATGATGTTAATAATTACAACATTCAAATCATATTATTTTTTATTTATTTAATGCTTTATTGTACACTAATTATGCATAAAAATATGACAAAGATAATCAAATGTACAAAGGCGAGCTTAAGTCTAAAGGACTTCTCTTCCAGCAAACCCAAAATGGAAAGGAGTATCAATGTCAATGAATAGAATGGTGTACAATATTGTGAAAATTTTCAAACAAAAGAATTAGACAAACTTAAGTTTAAACATATAATAATATATAATATATATATATTCATATATTCATTGCAAAACATGTATATATAATATATATACAAATGAAAATGAAAATATACATACTGAAACCCTTTTGGCAGCCTATGAAACTCGAATGACCTCTAATGGACCTGATAATGTGGCATTTATAGCCTTAGCAATATGGCACCTGAACCACAATATACCTGCATGCCATAACCATAACTTGCCCCGACTAATAAGACTATGATTTCCCAAAGTAGGGATGTGAAAATTAGTGCATATATAATATTCCTACATAAACAGCAGAGTTATAGATAAAGAAAAGTTACTATAGGCCTGGATGGAATATTTCCAGCCCTTCTGAAATGGAGCGGAAGCATCATAGCTGACTATTTAGTACAGTTGTTCCGAGCGTGTATAGCTCACCGTTACATACCTTTGAAATGGCGTAAGGTAAAATTTATATTTATTCCTAAACCAGGTAAAGGAGATTACACTGTGGGCAAATCCTTTCAACCCATCAGTCTCACCTCCTTCTTTTTGAAAACTTTGGAGAGACTATGTGACAAAGAGATTAGATGTCAAGTCTCCTTGTGCAAACCTTTACATCCTAACCAACATGCTTACAGTGAAGGCAAGTCAACAGAATCAGCACTTCAAAACGTAGTATCCCGAATAGGCAATGCATTGCAATCGAAGCAGCCAACCTTAGGTGCATTTATAGACATCGAAGGGGCTGTCGACAAAACAAACTTTGCCAGTATAAGTCGAGCACTAGCTACACATGGAGTAGAAATAACACTTTACTTTTAGAGAATGGATACATAACTTACTTAAACAACGAGCTATACAATTTACTGTAAATACTACCACATGAGGAATCGTCGGTAGGGGCTGTCTACAAGGCGGTGTACTGTCACCACTATAGTGAAATATAGTCGTAAATGAGCTCATAATAGAGCTCAACGATAACAGCCTCTACACGGTAGGTTATGCGGATGATATAGCTGTACTTTTAACAGGAAGCTTCGAAAGTACTCTGTGTGATCGCATGAGAGTAGCTTTTGAAATAATTGAGAGATGGTGCACACAGCATGAACTCTTGATTAATCCTACAGAAACAGAATTAATCATGTTCACAAATAGAAGAGTTACATATCCTTACAGACTACCAAAACTCTTCAATACGGAACTGAAACTTAAGGAAGAAGTCAAGTAACTTGGCATTATACTTGACAGTAAATTGCTTTGGAATAAACATCTTGACTATAAACCTAACAAAAGCACAATTGCATTCTACCAGTGCAAAAAGATGCTAGGAAACAAATGGGGTGTTTCGCCAAAAATAACTCTATGGCTATACAGAGCAACTCTTTCAACAGCAATAGAGCTGGCCCTCAACATAACACCCCTAGACCTGCACAGCTACAGCAGGAACTGGTCTTAGCCGCTATCCGACTAATGCATCTAGATCTATGGGGTAAAAATCAGAACAGTCCCCACACTTCTATTCTGAACCAGGCAATCGAATATGAACCTTTGCGGCTCCATGTGACAGGACTCATAATCAATATATATTTAACAAAAAATACCAAGTACAAATAAAAGAAGAGGAAAAGGACCAATCTGGTATACATGAATTACACATATACACCAATGGCTCTTCCTCTTCCGTTCTCGCAATTTCGAACATGGATTTGTCAAAGATCCGCTGACATACAAAACCAAAGATGGATACAGGCTACTGATTGCAGACAATCAAAATTGGCCATGCCTATGTTGAATCAACGTCTATCAAAACGTTTATTACATCTAGATAGGAAAAACCTCAAAATAATGATAGAGACAATAACGGGCCATTGTCCATTAAACAAATATTTATACACAATAGGAGCCACAGACAGCCCTCTATGTCGAGGCTGTTTCGATGCCGAAGAAACAGCTGCTTACATAATCCTGGAATGTGAAGCTGTGGCCCATCAACGTTTAGAAATCCTCGGAACAGTGAGGTCGCTCTGTGAGGCCTGTGAAGCTTCTGTGCTTCTGGGCGGAGCTAGGTTGGCTGTACTAGCCACGACTCATACACACAACGGCCCAAATGAGAGGCTAAGCATGGAAAATAGAGTCCTATTTACATCACATTACATACCTACATAAAGATAAATAAATATATGTTCATAAACATAGAAGATGCTACTATCTACTATAGTCTACTCTTAAAAATATTTAGGGATTAACTCTCACAGATAGATATGGGAAGAGAATTCCACAATCTAGCAGCATGGATGGAAAAGGAACCACTATATTATATAGATTGGAATATAAAAATGACAATATATGAAAATCTCAATGCCTTTTAATTGGTAGATATTTAAATTTTGTTCTATAGGTGAAGACATGATTTTATTTACACAGCCATAAATAAAACACATGCATAAATGTTGCAGTCTCTCTAATTTGTTCAAAAACTCTACTGTTGCATCAAGGTAGAATATGTTAGCATAATCAAGAAGAGGTTACAGTAGGGCTTGAGTCACAGTAAGCCTTGTTTCAAATGGTGGGAATTTTTTAAGTTGTTTATAAGACTGAAACGAAAAACATAACCTTTTCTTACTCCTTTAATGTGTTCATTTCAGGATTAATTACAGTCAATTACAACACCTAGGCTTTTTGCTTTCTTGGTATATGTAATTGGTTCATTTTCATAATACACATGAGGCAAAATATCATAATCAAGCATCTTATAATTTCGATAATAATATTATAATTATATACTTATTTTATATGAAATTAGTAAACGATTACTTACGATAATACTTCTTCTCTCAAAACTAATTCCAGTCAGACTCAAAATTTGGTGAGCTGTAAATAAATAATAAATAATAATGAATATTATAGAACACACAACTAAATGTATAAGATAAATTTATTATTATGATACTTATAATTTAAATGGTCGACAATTATCACCGGTGCGTTCTTTCTTCATCTTGAAAGGTTAGGTTAACAATTATTAAACATTTTACAATTATTACTGTGGCAATTTACAAGTTTTAATAAATTATTTAAGTAGTCTCATTGTAATTTCTAAAAAATGAAAACCCGCACAGTAAATGAGATTGAAAGAATGAAAATAGAGCAATAGTTGGAAAACTACAAACAGTAAGCAAAATAGTAGTAACCACGAACTAAATTAGCGATGGGCGATTCGAATCAAAAAACTCGAGTTACTCGAGCTGATTGCCGCCGGCTCAATTCGAACTGGCTTTTCTATCAATTCGAATCAACTCGTATAAAGCCAATACGGCGCTACCTACGTTACAACCGTGATATGAATGCGATCTGCGCTCGGATCACTGTAGCACGCAACTCGGCCGACTGTGTTCGTGTTCGTCATAACGTCAACTCGATTCGGTTGCTGTGAATGCTGCGTGGCTGTGTGCGTGCGACGCAACAGAAACATTATACAACGAGCAAGACTCTCGTGTGCGTGATATTTCTGTCAGCGTGTTTTACAGTTACACTCCGCGCGCTATATTATGGTGCGGTGATAGCTGAGACTTTGGCACTTTTTATTATAAATGTAACAGAATAGTGTTGAGTGAGATTTATGGAGTCAAAGTCAATCTAATAATATATTTATTATTTTTATAGAAAGAAAAAAAAAAGAAAGAAAGAAAACCATTATTTATATGAGTGGAAAAGCAAGTTACTGTTACCGATCCATAGATTTGTCGCATACAGTGAATTTTCGTAAATTATCTATGCTTTACTGTTTGCGTTGTACAAGTATTTTGAATTATATACTGATATGTGTATGTACCTATTACCTGCATTGCACCATGCCATAGCGTGTGGTGTATAATACTCGACATAACTACACCAACCGAACAAGCTGCGAAGTAAAATGAGATAGTAACATCACATGAGGCGCAAGTTAAAAGAAGAGAAGGCGATTAGTTCATGATTGGCTGACGACGAGCTTTTTTTTTAGAAATGTTACTGTTCCGTTTTTTAATATTTAGTTAATTAATTAATGTTAAAATAAATAGTAAAAATATAAGTATTAAACTTTTATGTATTTTCTTAGGTGATTACATAACTATTAAATTTTTTTATAAAATGAAATGAAATTTATTTAAATTAGATTAAATTTGTATTTTGTTATTTTTTATTTTTTGTATGTTTTACGTTTTGTTTTTTTTTTTTTTTGAAGTCTGTTGATTTTATTTCAAATTTATTTATTTTTCCATTTTTAGTATATTTTATATTTACATTACAAATTTTGAGGATTTCCCTCAATTTTCATGGGATCCAGATTCTGACTTGGTGACAAAAAAAGAATTTTCATAATCTTTTTTGCGATAACGATTGCCTATAATATTTAAAGAATTATCCCTTAATTCCTAACCGTTAAGGAGTTGTACTTCATCATCAGCTCATCTGAATATTACTTGAAAAAATACTACTAACGATCTAAACGTGCCTAATATTTCAGAAATTACCTCTTAACTCCTAACCGTTAAGGAGTTGTACCTCCCATTATCAGTTAACATGAGATAATGACTACCAGACGCAAATATCTGAATAGTTTTAGAAAGTACATGAAAAATATTGTAGGTGTCTATAAAGTATAGAGAGTTGCCCTCGATTTCCCTGGGATCCCATCATCAGATCCTGACATGGTGACAATGGGACCACCTCAAGATAATACCCCTTCCGATAAAAAAATTATTTTCAAAATTGGTCTACAATTGACGGAGTAATCACGTAACAAACATATAAAAAAACATAATAGTAGTCGAATTGAGAACCACCTCCTTTTTTAGAAGTGGTTAAAAATAAAAAAACCTATATTTTAAATATTAGTGTTTTGTATTTTTCTTTTAAATTAATAGCTTGAAAGTAAAGAACAAAACTGTTCTATAACTAAAATAGGTTGATAATATGAATTCTGAGTGTTTACTACGTTACGCTAGTATATTTTATTCGAATTGATTGAAACCCGCGAGTTCGCGCTATCAACGATTTAAATCTAAAGCGAGTTAAGTACCCGACCTACTGAGTTCGTATTCAACTGCAATATTAACTCCATACGAAGTGAATGCGAGCTGATTCGAGCTGCGATTCGAATCAGCCACCATTTCAATTCGGTTTATTCGAATTCAAAACTATACGAGTTGGCCCATCGCTAAACTAAATAGATGATGTAATAACATTAAACATCACAGATTAGTTCAGATTACAGAGACTATATCCAAAGAGAATACAAACAAGGGATAACAGTGCAAACTTCATACAAAATACGTAAAACGATCTACACAACAATCGAAATAGAAACAAGCAAATTATAATTATATAGAAACACGAATTATGTTATAAAAGAAATATATAAATTTTATGTCAAATTTCATGTTCCGATGAATATTTTTTAGTAAAAATAAAGTAATTCTTAAATATATATAAACTATTTTATACAACATTAACTAAACGTTGGTATGATGTTTCCTGACCAAATCCATACATTAATAGCTAATATAGAATTTACACAAGACTGACGATGCCTAAAAAATTTATGTTAAACTTTAAAAACATGAAAGGTAATAATATTTTGTCTATGCCGCTTGAAATAAGTAATGTCAAAAGTATGCTGTACAACCATAGATTAAGGATACTACTTTAAACATACTGTGTTACATAGATTAACAGTACAACTTGTTAATATTCAGTTTCTTTTTTAAACATAACTCTATATATATAATTTTATTTAAAAATTTAGTATTAATTTTAGAATATATCATAGATATCTAAATCGATTTATATAAGTATTCTTAAATCTAAGGATTAAAATTGTTTACTACCAACGCCTGCATAATTATAATGACTACAAAATACTTAGTAGTAAAATTCTTCATTTTATTTTCAAAAGACATATTTCTTTATTAATACTATTAAGTTTAGGTAGTCTCAGGACTATCATAAGTTTAGATAGATTTTATTATGGAAAAAATTTGACTCGAACTTAAATATCAATAAACAGTTTGAGAACCTGTATTTTTTATAAAGTTACCTCTTTTTAATTCGTTGTCCACTTTACAGACATACTGAGCAAAGAATTATATGTACTTTTCATTAATTTATGTTTTTAATTTGTTTTTAGGATTTTAGTATAATATCCAAAGATTTTGTAATTCCTTATTCTTAGACAATATCTTGATCTGTCATCTGTCATTTGTCAATAATTCTGTATATGTGTGATCCATTCTGTGATCTAATTGCTAGCTTGCAATTATTGTGAATATTGTATTTTTCTTAAATTACTTGATCAATTAATTTTGTGTGAAAGTAGTAGAAATAAAATATTTGAGAACGCTGTGTTCATGTTTTTCTCCTATTTGAATAGTCAAAATGTGGGACTCGCCATACTTGACTTGTTTAGTCTTGTATATATTTTCTTTTCAAATTATCGTCACTAATTCTCGTACTTCAAATATTTGGAAACTAAATGTGGACGAAGATCAAATTGTAGATGGATCTACATTATCCCAGGTCAGTAAACTTTTAAAAATTATGTCACAAAACACTTTGATAAATCATTGTATATATGTATAGCTTCGTTCAATATGCTAGACATTAATATCCCGATTACCATGAATTTATAGGTTTATACCACATTTTTTAAGACTATTATTTAAATTAAATATAAAATTGATTTGAATTAAAAGAGAAAGTTGAATTTCTTAACCCTAATTTAAAATTTTGTTTTAGGATGACTCTGATAAGCCAAAAATGACCAAAGAAGACTCAATTTTTAATATAATTACGTCTACTGTTTACTATGGTAACACTTGGACAAAACATGGCTTTGATATGTTTTGTACAGACTGCCAAATGTATGAACAACAAAGGTAATCAATCATTCATAATTCATGAAATTGTGTTATCTAAATATTTACATTTTTGTTTATTCCCACTATATGAATGGATATTGTATTAATAGTGTTATTAAAGTTAGTAAAACCTTTATTATATTATTATAATGTAAGGTAGTGAACTTACAGAATATTGTGACAACACCCTAGCCCTCAGAAATAGAATCACATCAGGAATTACATCAGTGAGGTGCATGGGTATCACAATACATATTGAAATACCAAGAAAACATTTTATTTATATATTGTATGTGGTATTTATTAATTTCACTTTAAATAAAGATTTTATTATTATAATTACAATCCTCATCATTATCATCTCAGCCATTACAATAAAGCCAAGAAATACTTCAATAGTTGGCATCTCTTAATTTATTATTTATATTATTGTTATTCACACAATCTAACAAAAAGACAAGAAATAAAAATAAATTGTATTTTTTTTTTAAAACCTTTTAAATGTACTAATAAAAAGAAATAAAAAATATTCACTTTGTAACATTCTGTCATATGTTGAGTATTAATCTAATTAGTTACATTTATAATATTTCAGAGCTGGCACAGAGAGTGGTGATGAGACTACACCAACAGAAACAAACGGTGATCCTGATGATGAATATTTAGACTGTGGAAAAGCTGTGAACTTTACATATTATGACAATTTGGTTGGTGTAGCAAGACGACACAGGCATCCCAATGTGCCTGAACCACAGGTAATATCTAACTACCCATAAAGATATAGCAGAAAAATACTATGATTAAATACTTAGCAATTAATTAATAACTGTCAATAAGAAAATATGAAACCCATATTCTAAAATTGTTTATGTCATTAAAAAATGTAATTACTGTAATATTGAAACTATGTTATGTGTTGTAACTGGCAATATGAAGATTGGTATCTAATGTCTTGTGCAGTATGCTACTTAGTTTTACTATAACAATGATTTATTTAAATCATGCAACACACATTTGAATATAAGTACTGCACATATAATTATTATTCATACATTATCTCATTTTCAATACAAACACTGATTTAAATTAGACTTATTCACTTACTGGGTGTTGTGAATTGTCTTTGCTTACTCTTGGTTGTAGTAATATGCTTCTTTGAATTAACAATCTGGTATGGGTATTGTCATAGTATTCATCAGAACATAATCTCTTTAATATAAAAGAGCACAATAGAATAATAAATGTATTTATGTTCTCAATTTAATGAAAAAATATAACAAGACTTTTTCTAAAAACATCAATGTTAATAGCCAGTATTAAAACTCCAAGACTCTTGCTTACATCAGTCTACCCTTTAAATACAACACATATCTTGCTGCTTCACTCAGGAATAGGTAAAAGAGTTCTACTTACCCATAAACACACAAAATACCGCCATAATAATTATCATATATATCAGAGAAGTAAATATAGAAATGTATAACAATCTATGCAATTGTATAAATGACCTCTAAAATTGCCTAAAAAATTATACCCACTTCATATTGAACTTTTTGGGAAAGTTATAAGACCCTACATATATGGCCTACTTACCCATGTGATATCTGGCTAGGATATAATTCATATTTCATTTAAATTAGCTCTACCATTTATCATCCAATTATTATAAATGTGAAAATTTGTAAAACTACTGAACGGATATAAATAAAATGTAATACATAGATAGGTTATATTGTAACTTAACACATAGCATAGTTTATGTACTTATTAATTCAAGCGTGCAAAGCTGTAGTATATTGCTAGTAACAAATATTTAAACATCCAACCTTTAAAACTTTCACTTTTAAAATAATAGAATAAATCACTACATAGTATAAAACAAAGTCACTGTTGCTGTCTGTCCGTCCCTATGTATGCTTAAATCATTAAAACTACGCAACAGATTTTGAAGCGGTTTTTTTTTTAATAGATAGAGTGATTCAAGAGAAAGGTTTATATGTATAATACATGCATAATACAGTAGAGAAACACTGATAATTTTAAAGGTTTCTAATGTGATGTGATGTAATATGTAGCCCTGCAAAGCCGGGGTGGGTCGCTAGTATACTATAAATGTATTAATTTATGGTTAATTATTGTAGGTTGCTCTCATATTTACAAAGAAAAAATCATACAAAAATGGTGTGACAGAGCTAGATATAAATGCACTTGAAAAACGACTGAAAAAAGCCAAGAGAGAAAAACCAAAGTCTGTACAATTGTACAATCAGATAGGCAATTTCTGGAGAATTAAAGGAGACACTCGACAGTCAATTGAGTGTTTCAGACGTGCCCTTGCAGTGTCGCCTTATAATGCCGAAGTAAGTTATTGTTGTGTAACATAGATATTCATTAAATATACAATTATAATTTACAAGTACATTTCTTTAAACAGGAAATTCAAACAAAAATAAATCATGCTATACATACTCGCTCCGCCGCGCAAAACAAGCTAGTCACTACTCGAGCAAAAAATTACTATGGCGAGCGAACGAGCGCCTACCTTATACCGCGATTAATAAATTCTCTACCTACCGACTTGCGAAACAATATCACTGTCAAAAACATAAAATTTAAACTGAGAGCTTATTTACTGTTCAACCTTGGTAAAACAGCAGAATATTAATGTAAATAGTGATATTTGAGAACCGAATGTAAAGTATCACACACAAGCCCAAGAGGTTTAAGTGGTATTAAAAATCCAATTTTTTTAAATGCATTTATGTATGATAATTAAATAAAAAAAAAAACATAACATTCCAATAGATTCTGAAAATGAAGTACTGATTTTTTTAGTCAACTTGCAAACTCATTGGAATGTTTCCCATGGAAAAGGAGGCATGTCTAATATTGTCCTATGCTCTTTACATAAATCATCATCCGTTCCTTAACACGTTAATCGCCATGTCAGTCATATGTGTCTGAAGCTAAGATGTTCTACATGAGCCATATCAGACATATATGTCTGACATACGCGATTTGGTAGAAGGCGAATAATGGTATATTGTTTCAGTTGAAAAAAGTAAAGTCACCTATGTGTGACATAAAAAATAGTGCTTTTCTGGGAATTTTGGCAAAAAAAAATTCTGTGATACATTAAGTTTCCTTGATACATTTTTAACTAAATTATCTAAGAAAGTTACTATGGCGATTAATATGTTAAGGTTTCAGCTGGTGGTTAATTTGGACCAAACTTGGCATAGGGTTTTAATTTGAATTAATGTTTTATTATTATCATACATTTTTAACAGACTTAAAAAAAAGGGCCTCAATTTGGTTGAATTTTTTTTTATATTTGTTATCTCGTAATTCCGATGTGTGTTACCGATGTGAATAATTCTTTTTTTATCTGAAACGATATACTCGCAGATTAGTCCCATAACAATTTTATCAAAATCTATTCAGTAATTTAGTTTTTAAATCAAAATAACTTTGCCACAATTGGAATCTGTTTTTTTTATATGAAAGTCAATCTTAAATTATGTAGAAACTATTATAATGATTATTTATGCAAAAAATTAATCATTTTAGTTTTCACTACTTTTTCAAATACTATGTACGATGTCGATATATAATACTTAAAAATCACCTGAAAATATAGGTGCTGCTGAACTTGGCACGAGTACTGTTCACACTGCAATATCTTGACGACGCCATCTACCTGACGCGGCGTTCATTGGAAGTACAACCACCTGACCGCAGTGCGTGGCAACAGTATTTCACTCTTGGAGAAATATTAAAAGCATATGGACATTACCAGGTGAATTTACAAATAAATTTAATGTTTTTCCATCATTGAGGGTAAAAATAGTAAGGAAATATTACTATGTATAAAATCTTGTTTGCTTGTTCTGATGAATTCCATTACATTTTTTGTATCACTTAATAATCAGAATCGTTTTTATATGTTTTAAATAAATTAGTTCAACCAATTCTAGATTCTTAAAGAATACCTTTGATTCAGTATACCTATATGGTTTAAGTTAAATCCCCTATCAATAATATAGAAAAAATTCTTGTAAATTTAGAAAAAAATAGCAACACGTTGGGTAGAAATTGAATATCTAATTCAATTTATCCTCTTCATAAATCATAATAATTATGTTGAATTATATTTTCTCTTTTCAGGAAGCTGCTGTGCATCTGAGACACACTCTCGACTTGAGACCAGATTTTGAACCAGCACTGGCAGCTTTGAAAGATATCGAGAACATACCAGAAGCATCGGTTCACGTTTATACGCTTCTAATTATTGTTTGTTTGGTATGATCCTATTATTAACTTTTAATTAATTATTATTTGTTTAGTATTATCCTATTGGGGACAAAATCAAAAGACTCATTTAAAATAAATGAAAAATCATTCAATCAAACAAAACCTTCATTTCAGGTGATGGGAGTACTCCTAGTAATTCTGTCTTCAGTGGACAGTGGTGGTGATGTAGAAGAACACAAGACCCAACGTCACTTCAACAGGGCGATGGCTATGCGTTCCCTGCGCGGGGTCGCGCTCCCCGGCTCGCGCGGACGCAAAAAAGGAGGCTCGTAAACACAACGGCGTATCTCATGCGATTGGCCTGAGTTTGCTATCTCTAGTTGAGTATTCCTAGTCCATCGAATTTTACCCAATTTTTTTACAAGCTCTTTCTTAATTTGTCATAATCTTATGCTTGACGGTGTTTCTTTATCAGACAGCTCAATCTTCACGTCTTATAAATTGCTAGAAGTTTTACATGTTATGTGATTACATTATTTGATAACTGAATTATCTCTCAATAAAACCATAATTCTAGGCACTTAGAAACATCAAGAGCCTTACTAATCCAGTATTATATTTTACATTTGCTAACCTTGAAAAATCAAAAATTGTACCTTTATACTTTGATAGGTTGTGATTTCAATATTATTTTTGAGAGATTTCAAACTCAGGCATGCCATTGCGAAATTATTACATTTTCTCGCATAAAAAAAAAAATTACGAGTGATATCGATAAAAATGTTTATTTATAATATTGCTATTGATATGCGTGCAGAAAAGAAAACTGATAGATACATTGTGGCACTGTTCTGTTACATCCATCTTTATAAACAGATAATACTATAATATAAAATTGTTTTATAAGCTAACAGAGTAAAATTTTATTTCCAAGCTCTAAAATGTTACTTTATTAGAGAAGAAGAATAGTTAAAAGTTGATAATTAATTACTTTTCATATATTGACTTAATGTTTTCCGACATCATTTGACATGATACGCATTTAGATAATAATAATAATAATCTAAAATTAATGTTTGATTAATGAATAGTTTATGATACTATGCCAAATTGAAAGTTATTTTAATAGTTTAACCATAAGCAAAGAAAGAAATATAAATTCAAAAATATAGCAGTGTAGATTATTATTTCATGCAGTCATAGGAGACTATCATACTGCTTCATGTGGGTGTAGACAGGAGAACCGACAGCTTCTATACTTTAAATACTTATCTCTGTTAGCTTATCAATATTCCTTGTGTTGTGAAATGTAACTAACTTGATGCTATGACAAAATATTAATCGTTGGTTGTGTTTATTATATTTACTTTATGGATGTCATGGAACAGTACTGTCAATCAGAGGCTAAAATGTACAAAAATTATCGTTATGTAAAAGTGACCAATGCGGTCTTGCCATGTTTAATTTGATCTCTGCTTTGTAGTCTTCATCACCTCATAGGCGTTATCTAATGTGGTGTTTCCTTAGCCATTTGGAAAACGTAATATTATCGCTTTTCCATTATATTTAAATTTTACAATTGGTCTACAATAATAAATTAAATCCGCTCCGTTTAATATATTTGTAAGATAAGATTATTCTCATTTTAACAGAAAATGCTTTTCGTAAGCAATAATAGTTAAAAAAATATACTATTTGTAACTAGTTTATAGTATTTTAATAATGAGGAAGCCTGAATTTCTTGTAATTAAAAATGTGGGTAACGTCAAATAATAGAAAACTGCTAAATACACAAGACCTGCGATATTAGACAGGAGTCAGGAATACATTCAGTTGAAGCGTCCATGTCAGCCTCGCAATGAGAGTATCACTTTTGCAACCTAGTCATTCACTTAGACAAGTTTGGTCCGCGCAGTGGCGGGACCCGGTGTGTAATTCGTATAGTAGTGCATGCAAAGTAAACTTGTTAAGTGTTCGTAGTATCTAAGGATTTAAAAGGAGGAGAAAGTCTTAAATTCTGAGATTGGTAAACATGTACCTGTTTTCAGTGGTTCTTTTGTTAATTTTTGACTATTTATAACTTAATACATGATTGTCTTAGCATCTATATTTTGTGTATTTTTTTAATCAAATTTATTTTACCTTTCAGTAATAAAAGAATCTGTAATATCAACACAGTTGCTAGTGTTGAAAAATAATTCTTGTTTCAAATTCGCATATAAGACATACATAGCCTAATTCTTGAGATTTCCATTTAATTGTCAAATTTCATGAAAATTAGGTCAGCAGTTTAATCACACGTGATATATATGGTTCAGCCGTGAAAACATTACTTAATAGATATGTATTAAAGATCAAATTATTATTATGTGAATGTGTAAGCCTCAATTATAAGCGGGCAGTAGCAGCCTGACTTTCATGTATCATTGGACATTCTGAGAAAAACCAAAACTTTTTTAATGCAATCTAACCTATAGACTTGATAGTCCTGAAAAATTATTAAAATTCTTTATCAATATTTAAAATGAGATGGAAAAACAAAACAACAATTTAAAAAATTATATGTATTATAAAATGTATACATGTAACTGAGAAAAAAATTGCCATTACTATAACTATAGCAATTTTAGTAATTTCAAGCCCAAACAAATACCAAAATGAAAGTAGCCTCAGAGCAAACAAACTATTGCAACATCAATAGGTAAAGCAAGATACTTAAATAATGAAATGCATTACTTGTTAATAAAAACAAATGAGATCTATACCCATCAACCTTGTAATAGTTGTTGCCTAAACCACAATTGTCATATAATAATTAGAATTTACAAATAGGCAATTGATTGCATATTACTTATACCTAGATAACCAAAACAAGATTTGTTATAGCTTGTGGTTCATACCAAGTACTTATGTACGACCTTGTTCGTTATTATTGAAGTTGTGATTTATTTGGAAGTTAAGCTACGTCATGAATGCCGAGGCGGAATATGTCATGCTGGACAAAGAATGAATCTCCAAGTGGCTTCAGTACAAAGGTCTGCATGTATGGATGTGGAGGGTCGTCGTCACACTGCAACATAATACAATTACCATTATTGAACAAATTTTATATTCATATGCATTAGTATTTTATTTTATTAAGTGCATGTGATATATATTTGATAGATTCAAATATGACATTTGAATGCTAAATTTCTGACACCATATGAACAACTACTGTACTATATCTACGAGATTTAGCTCTCGTCACATGTTTAATTTTTTTTTACTTTCCAATAGAAGTTTATAAATTCGCATGTATTTTTTTTTGCACTAGAGAACCATTCTCTATTTCTAAAATTATAATTTCAGTTTTATACTACAGATTATTTATTAAATAATTTTTCCAAACACCGGAGTGCATGAACTAAATTTAACAGACTAGAACTATTCCTTGGTGGTTCACAACATAATACTTTCGTTATACGTTTAAATGGCACCTCAGAAGAAGCAAGGAAAATGACAATGTAAGTATATATGTATATACTTACATATAATTACAAGAATGTCTTTGGTTTTGATGCAAAATTTATATTAATAAAGTTAGAAGCAGTGCTTACACATTCAGATTTTTTTAGTTTTATGGATTACAAGTACAAAAAAATAACATTTGCCAGAATTATATAGTTTTAAAGGATAATAGGCAAGCAATATATCATAAATCAAGAAAGTGAGACTTTTCTAATGCCAATAACAATATTATACCAAAAGTAAAATTCACCTGTGAGCTACTGAAATGCAATTGAGGTATAATTATGAAGTTATTACTTTCCTTGCAGTGTGCATAATTATCCATAACTATTTGATAAATTTTAAATATGATGTTTACATGAAATAAAGAGAAATCATGTAAATCAAGCAATTAAATATGTAGGTCTCTTAATTTCTTATGAACCTAATAAATTTTTTTAAACAGAGTCTTAATTATGTTTTCACATTGAAAACACTTGGTAAGTAGTGAATAAATTTTACAGTAATATAAATCATAGTATAAAATTTCAGAAAATAATTTCATAATTATCACAATAACTTTAATATTTTTACGTGAAGAAAATTTGAATTATGGATATGAAAATGTATGATTTCATATCTACAATTTTTTTTCTTGTATATTTAAAAACTGTTAATTGTACTAAAGAAACTTAGGAGAAACATTTTTTTTCTGTTTCCATCATCACAGCACACAGGTACTTCATAGTCCAATATGTGATATAGAATATTATTGACATTAAAAAAGCCAAACAGAAAGTTTCAATGATTGATGACCAGATTCCATGAAGTTTACATAACAAATAATATATAATTATGAAGGTATAAATGTATATTTATTTATATTTCGTAATATAATGATGATATTGTCCATATAATAATAATTTGCTATTATGCCATCAATCAAACTGAACATGAATATACAAAATCATTTATAATTATAATCCATGCATTGTTACAAAAAATGAAATGATACAAACATCACTATATCATCTCACCTTTTGTATAATTAGTTTTATTTTTAGAGACTATCCTGATATATAATGCAAGCAACTCAATATTTTATAAGTTAAAGTCACTTTAGTGAGAATACAGTTTTTTAAAATATATGTTAATGGTTAACAATATCATAGACACAGTGAAGGTGTATGAGTTACAGTGCTGAAGTAAAACACTAATCCACAGTGTAAGGAACAACTAGTAGTCCAATGCCTTTAGCATATCCAGAATATTCAAAACATGATAATTCAGAACTTATTGCTGATATGTTCATCAGATGACTGAAAGGAAAGTGTTCTTTAAACTGCGTACTAATCAATGCTTTCTTACTTTGACTGATGGACAAAATTATATTTAAACATCATGAAGTGCCAGCCGGAATATATCGTGTTCTACATAAAATGAGGTTCCTATTGGCTTCAGAACAAATGTTTGTAGATAAGCATGTGGCTGATCATCATCTGTCTGTTACAAATGTAACAATAACATTATATATAGCATTAACAAGACAAAATCTTATTTTGTTGTATAGTACTTTAAACATACCTGCAACCTCCCGAGGACATTAATTAACACTCCACCATCAAACATAGGTTGTGAATCCACAGAAGTTATTAATCTACCAATTTTTTGAAATGTCAATCCCTGAAATAGTTATGTTGTGCTGAAATTATTTTTGAAACTAATAATAATAATAGACAACGTTTATTAGTTTTCATATTGTAATTATTGTACAATAATTTGAAAACATCTAAAGCTGTTAAAAGGAATCAAACTTCATACATCTGAGGGCCTAACCCAAAATGCTTTGACCTAAGCTAATATATAAGTAGTTTATTTCCCAAATGACAATTAAACCTGAGAATTCATGCAAAACAACATGTAAATTAACATACCACTGAGGTTGTGGATTAATAAATTGATAATATCTATATTAAAGGCAATATTAAAATAAAATAGTGTAGACTTAGAATAAAATATTCTATGTTCTGGTAACTAACTATTGTGCAAATCGGGTTTAAAACTAATCCAAACTAAAAAAAATATTAATATATAATATCTTTAAATATTAATGTTTTTCAAATTTTAACAATTGTAACAATTTTTCATTTATGTAAATTAACAAATATCTAATCATAAATAAAATGTTCTCTTAATTTAAATTTGTTAATCCAAGTTACTTGCATTAAGAAATTAATACATACATTTAATTTTTCCATAATTTTTACAGCACCTTGTAGTTGCACTCCTTCAAACGTCATAAAAGAGGTCTCCACCTAAAATAAAATTAGTAGCATTAAAAATATGCCTATTGGATAGTTAGGCATAACCTCATATTACATGACTCATTTTTATTTTGAGACAATTAATCATGGTTCATTTATTTATTTTATGACTTGAAACATTTCAAGATATAAGCTGATGCAATTTTACAATACTGAGAGTTTACTCACAGTATAATAACACAAGTTGGTACTGAGAAAGTAGTTAAAAGCAACTAAACAAATTTATTAAAGTTCTAGCTTTTAAATTATACCTATTCCATAATTCAATACCAAATATGACAAACAATGAAACGAAAGCTCCTACACGTTGATTCTAGGATGTTAGTTATTGCGAGCTAGTTATAATGGTCGAAACTTTCCTAATAAGAGACAAAGCAAAATGTTAGTATATTTTTCGGCGGGAGCCTGAAGTTAACCTATAAAATAAAATTAGGTCGATTCTAATTTCATAAAGTCCTAGGAAATATATTATATGCATATTAAAAGCATTATAACGATCTGTTATGTATAAAATAACTCACGTTGTACATATTTGCCAGATTTGGTCGTTGTGCCGGATCGTCGAACAATGTGTAATATTGCTGTACGAATCCTTTTCCGATAGCATCGTACTGTGGGTTAAGCGCCATTTAGATGTGTTTTATGTTCAAATATTACTAAAACGACGAAGAAACAGAATTTACGATAAAATACAGGTATAAAATACCCGAACACATCACACGAGAAAATGGTAAATTGCCACCAGTGTTGCTCTCCAAAAATAAAATTTGACAAACATACATAAAAAGACGACAGAATTTATCGCCACAATATAAAAGCTAGCAGCCGCCTTATATTCACGAAACCTGGAAAATGAAATGCATGTTACTAGGCTCACAGGTTTTTTTTTTATATTAAATTAATTAATATGTATATAGCAAGTAATCATTACGTTATAAGAGTTGGCACCAGCCTTATCAACAGAACCTAGAGAAGAAAAAAATGAATGTTTTAACTTTAAATTTTCTAAGTAATAACACAATGAAAATTATAACAAAATAGAAAAATTAACTAATATTTATTATACCACTACCTATATTTGCCTTCATCCTATTGAATGAACAGGAGAGTAATAAAAATTCTCTTTGACGCATTAATCAATAGTTGATATAAATGTTTTTAATAGTGCATTACTTATCTGTAAAAAAAAAGGGATTTTAAATTGTATTAGAACAAAATAACTAAACATAGGTACTTATTTTATTGTCCATATTTATCGTAAAATTTTATTTTATGTAATAGTTAGCATTTTTTATGGCAACTATCGATATAATGACTAGAAGCATATATAGATGATAATGATACAACGCTATGGATATTCATTAAATTTTTTTTTTATATAATTTTTATTGTGTTGTTACTTCAAAAAGGTAAAATCCATTTAAATTTTTTTTCAAGTTCCGTTGATGTAAGGTAGGTGCCGGCTCTTGTAAAATAGTAATTACTTACTCTGTGGGTAGAACGGAATCAATATCTATATATATACTCTGTGCTGATCGACAGCAAATGTCGTTCTAAATATCAAATAGTTTCTCTAATCTGTGATATTTAATATTTTAATCTTAGATTGTATTATCTGTGTTCTTAAGTTTATAGATATAGTGTTGGTATTATTTGTGTATAACTGCGAACTGAAATTGTTTAGTTTTTATTTCTTCAACTCTATTTTGCAAAAAGCCTTTTATTATACTTTTCAAAAATGTCTTTGGCTGACGAATTATTAGCAGATTTAGAAGAAAATGATGATGGTGAGCTTCAGGCTGCGATTGAAAATAATGCTGCTGGGGATGCAACTCATGAATTTGCTGTTCCATATCCTGTAATACCAAAAGAAGATGAAATAAAAAATGTGTCCATCAGGGAATTAGCAAAATTAAGGGATTCTGATCGATTAAAACGAGTAAGTTCATATTTTAAGAAACTCACAAATGTAGGTTATGGAACATGTTTGTCTTACACCTTTATTTATTTGGGAATATATAAACCCGTGAAATGTGACGAATATAACATTTTTCTTCATGTATAAACAGTTTACCTGAATAATTCATTGAAATATTAAATATTTTTATATAATCTGTTTCTTTTTAAATATTTGTTTGTATTTATATTGTTAAAATCAATCACTGGCAAATATTTTTGCCCATTTTGACAAATTCACTAGGAATTAATAACAATGATTTCAATCACAATGTTGAGATTGACTGAACAGATATATTGCTGATAATGTACTAACAATTCCTCCTGTAGGCATTTTTATCTCTGTTGTAAAGTTGTCTCTGATTGAACAGCCATGAGATTGATATGTTACATGAAAATATTAATCAAGATTTATTTATTTGTAAAATATGCGTATAAATTCATGCAAATGTTGACAATAAATCAATCAAATAAAAATAAAAGCTTTTATGAAATTGCTTTTATAAAAATGTATCATCTTTTTATAGGTTATTACTGAGGTAGAACAAAATGTTGGAAATAACCGGAAAAAAATTGAAGTCACTGGGTTGATGGAGTCAGATCCTGAATATCAGCTTATTGTGGAAGCTAATAATATTGCTGTTGAAATTGATGGAGAAATTGGTAGGTTTTAAGTATTTTCTTTTCATATTGTATTTTAACTTCTTAATAAATTACTATTTTACAAACCTTATAACTCCAAATTTTATAATGGCATCTACAATATATAAATACAATATAGATATAGTGTATATAATAAGCATAAAGTAATACTAAAACTGGGTGCTTATCAATTTTATCTGTAATCAGAACCACCATTATAATAAATAGATGTGTTTATTAAGTTTACTAATAGAATAAAATTGTAATTACTTAGATGTTTTGTTTAAACAGGATGATATGTAAGAAAAATATTATGAAAGGTCTTAATAATAGCAAGAAACAAACCATTATTGTTAGATATTTTGTCTGTTGGTCTGTATGTTTGTTTTGGTATTATGCAAAAACTACTATAGTAAATGGAATTTGGTATTTACAGTTGTATACTTGAAGGTGTAACTGAAAAACTGATATATGTTTTATCTTGATACACCATCTAGACATGGTCTATTTCTAAATTTATTAATATAATACATTTTAAAAATCTAGTTATTATTTTCGTATATTAACTATCTATTGCTAAACACAGGTCTCTTTCATAAAAGGAGGGGGGGGGGGATTGCCAGTAAAAGCTAGTTGCATATTATTTTTTTGTATACTGTCTTATAATGATATTAAAATTATTTATTCACACTAAACACTTTTTTATATACATGTTTATTATATATATATATATATGCATAACAATTGTTAAATAATTACTCTGCAAATATCACAATATGCTATATATTATCCTAAGTTATGTCAGAGGCTTCCATCTATATCTAAGGCCAACTCTCTATTCTAAAAAGTCTAATTCTCTTATATAAACTTTAAACTTAGGATCACAATATGATAAATCAAATAAAAAAAAAAAAAACAGCTTATTTATAAGTTTCAAACATGAGCCCCAAATATCATTTTCAGCTATTATCCACAGATTTGTCCGTGACAAATACCAGAAACGGTTTCCTGAATTGGAGTCACTCATTGTAACACCATTAGAGTATATTCGCACGGTTAAAGAACTTGGTAATGATTTGGACCAGGCCAAGAATAATGAAACACTTCAGAGTTTCCTGACACAAGCCACTATTATGATAGTTTCTGTAACAGCTTCAACTACACAAGGGTAAGATGATGTGTTAAATTTTAGTCTAATTTAGTTGAGGATTGATTAATTATTTGTATTAATGTAGAAAAAATAAATAAAATTCTGTATGTAATGTGGAATAATCACATTTTGTATTTTCAATTGAAATTAATAGTTACAATTCAAGTTAGTACATTATTCCAAGTCTATTATTATAGTTTGTGTGTTAAGAGTATTACATCTATAAAGGTGAAAATATTAGTTTTCTTAGCCTATTACATCCTTAAGGATGATAATAGAAAAATAAAACATTTTTACAGTCACAAATTGATTCTCTTTTATAACAATGTTAGTTTTTACCTGCACCTTCATCCATGTGACTAGGATATGTTTACTGATTGAGATAAAAAATAGTCTATATTCCATTCTAAATGGTATGTGTATACCAAATTTCACAGTGATTGGTAAAGCTGTTATGGTGCTATAAGGTAACTTATATGTTACCTTTACAAACAAATTCACATTTATAATATTAGTAAGAATATTTCTTTGTTTATCTAATGTAAGATATTATAGAGAAAAAGAAGTAGCAAGATTTTGAACAATACAATATTGGACTTATTGCTTAATGGAATATCTTGTAGTTAACTAAACTATACATAATTGAAAACAATAAATTATCTTTCTAACCTCTTTTGAGAAAAACTATTGTAAGAAACTACTTAGTTAAAATAAATATCTATATGTTATAAACAGGAAAAATTTTTGATGGTTTGTTTTTGAGTTTATCCATAAGATAAACTCAAAAAATTATAAACATTCTTTTACTTATATTAAAATATAAATAAAGGAATTATTATAATTAATTATTATTTACAAGTAATATGATGCTATATATTATTTTTTTAAATTCTGTCTACTCATGCAAAGCTAAGGCAGATTGCTATTGTATTCTTTTATTTTTCCAGTTTTATAATAATGATAAATTTGATTATAATAATCCTCCTCCTTTTATTATCATAATATAATTCTTAGGGAAATAAATAATAAAAAAATATTTATATTTTAGGAAACTGCTATCAGATAAAGAGTTACAAGAAATATATGAGGCCTGTGACATGGCTGCTGAGCTCACTAATTTTAAGTCACATATCTTTGAATATGTTGAAAGTCGTATGACATTTATTGCACCAAATATTACTGCAATAGTTGGTAAGTCAAATTATTAATATAAGGACTTTTTTTTTTAAGGATGTAAATGGTATGGTAACCCTGCCTGCGCTAACGGGATACACTAGCGAAGCACCAGTGAAGGGTGATAGATGAGAAAGAAAACAGGTCAGTTAGCCCATCATGATGAATTCATCAGGAATTAACCATGATAGTTTCCAGGGAGAACCGCGAGGAGGTCGACCTGGTTGGATATATTGCTAGCAATAGGATTCTCAGTCTCCATTACTAACAATCCCTTTCCCCCCAATATATAAATGTTAGACTGTAGACAGATAGTTCATATAAACTCATACCTTAAGATCTTAACTTCATCATATCATCATATGAGCCTTTAACTGTCCACTGCCAAATATAGGCCTCGCTAATTGGGGAGTTTTTCACATAGTTACTACACTTGACAGGTGGGTTGGCAACTGTAATTAGGCTTTGGTGATTTTTTAAAAGGGACACTGCTGCCCATCCCTCGACCATTGAATAATTATTAAGATCTTTACTTGAGCTTCTTTACATAATTTGTAGATACTTATTACAATAATCAATATTGATTTTTTTTATTTTGCAATTGATCCGACTTAAATTAATAAAAAAAATGTCTTTGATAATCTAATCAGGTGTTACAGTTATAGTAAGCATTTATAATATTATATTTCATTTATAGGGGCTTCAACAGCTGCAAAAATTCTTGGCGTTGCTGGAGGTTTATCTAAGCTGTCAAAAATGCCAGCCTGTAATGTACTGCCACTTGGTCAACAAAAGAAAACACTTTCTGGATTCTCTCAAGCGACAGCTTTGCCACACACTGGCTTCATTTACTTCTCACAAATTGTACAAGATACACCACCTGTAAGTATAGTGCAATTAATAATCAATAAAAAGCATTAAATCAGTAATATTATATTAGTCTTTAAGTGTCCACTGCTGTATAATGGGAGGTTTTTGCCAATGTCTATAGGCGACGCTTACCACTTTCCATCAGGTCGTGGACCGTCAGCTTGTTTGCCATTCTAAGTTGTATAAAAAAAAGCTACCACACTTCATAGGCAGCTTGGTAACCACAGTTAGGCTTTAGTGATATTTTAAGAGGGATGCTATTGCCTTTATATATATTTTTTAATGGGTAATAATAGAATGGTAACCTTGCCTGTGCTATTGGTATGCGCTGGCCGGACATCAGTGAGCGATGATAGATGACGATGAAAGCAGGCCATTGTGACAAATTCCACTAGAATTAACCACGATTGTTTCCATAGGGAATCACATGGAGGTCTACCTGATAGGGTGTATTGCTGGCAATGGGTCTGTTAGACCCCATTGATGACAATCCCTTCCCCCCCATTCTATACCGTGAATACACTGCGATAAATCAGTAATATAGTAACTATATGTAACAAATTTACTATTTCCTGCAGGAACTAAGATATAAAGCTGCTAAATTAGTTTCAACGAAACTTACGTTAGCGGCACGTGTTGACGCATCACATTCCAGTACAGATGGACACATTGGTCGCCAGTTACGGGAAGGAATTGAGAAAAAACTTGACAAATTACAGGTATAATATTTTTTAAATGAAAGTTATAAAACATCGTTATTAATCAATATAAAGGGTATCATAAATTTTTTGTAGTGGCCGCTGTTAATTTAGTTATCACTTTTTATAGTATTTTAAGTAAATATTTATTTTTTATGATTATTAAAAAGCTTTTGCCGTAAGGAATATTTAAGCTGAGATTATTGAGTTTAAATGAATTTACATATACATTTATTTATTAAAATTTAAATATCTTAAAGCTTACACACTACATGTCCCCGTAATAAAATTTAAAATAAGGCCAACAACCCATTATTATACACACCTCATTACTCACACCTTAATGCACAGTTAATAATTAAGATTATGTGCAACAAAAAAAAAAGACTGTCTTCAATTTTGGCAAAACGAGTTATTTTGATTTCTAAACCAAACTACTGAACCGATTTTTATAAAATTTCTATGGGATCAATCTGTAAGTATTATGATCAATAAATATGTCCGTTCGGGTAAAAAAGGAATTTTTCAAATTCGTTTAGAACTGACGGAGTTATGAGGTAACAATAAAAAAAAAACAACCGAATTGAGAACTTCCTTTTGGAAATCGATTGAAAATAGTGTTTAGATAAGGTCGATATGTGTTACAGGAACCGCCACCAGTAAAATTTGTTAAGCCCCTTCCGAAGCCCATAGAGCAAAGTCGCAAAAAGAGAGGAGGTAAACGAGTCCGCAAGATGAAAGAGAGATATGCGATGACTGAATTCAGGAAGAACGCCAATCGACTCAATTTTGCTGACGTGAGTGTAATGTTTACATTATTTTTTATCTTCTATTGTATACAGAGTAAAATTGAAACCATGACCATAATTTTAAGGGATTTTTCTACCAGTAAAGTATCTAACTTTTAAGTCAGTATGAGAGGCTTATATTTTTTTGTTCTATATCAACTCATGTTTCTTTAGGAACCATATTCAATTTCACTAATACTACATTCACTACTACAATTGCTACTCGTGTGGTATTGAGGGTGTTGCCCTCTAGTGTCAAGAGTTTCTAAACAGTCTTCGTTATACACGTGACTTACTGGACGACGACTTTGCGTGTCCTCCGAAGTGCGTAGCGAAAGATAATCATTTTTAAATGCTGCTGTTGATGTAGCTATAATTTATGATAATTTGCATAGCATTTCTGTACTGTAATATATTTCATAATTATAGTTTAGGGACGCTAACTCGATAGCAGTCCGCGTAACAGGGTTAACTTCGAGATGCTTAATGATATAGGCAATAACAAGCCGTAATGACGTGACGAGCATTTACTAAGCGGAGGTGGTAAATCGTATAATTATATTAAAGTATTATTAGAAAGCTTAATTTTATAGCTCTGGTATATAAATAAATAGATCATTATATGCAAAAATGTATATAAATATGACTTTCATTTAACTATGACGATTATCATATTTATTTATATACTTATATACACATTTTTAAGTTTAATCGTATCAAGCCATAGAACTTTATATTAGAAACGTAAACATTAAAAAGTTTGCTTTAAATATTCAAATTTTGATATCAACCATAAATGGAGATAAATGGATTCGACATAAGTACTGCAAAATTGTATAAGAAAAGTGGCCCGTTTCGGATACGCATGTTGTTTTTTTTTAATTAAATATAGTCTTATCTTACTCGCTGATAGCTAAATGATAGCTGATAGAATAAACAAACAAATATATAAAAAATCGTATCTTTACTATGTATAATGCTAGTTTCTATGAAACGTAAAGGTTTTCAAGTACCTTGAATACCCCATCTTTTTAATTCTATTTTAACTAAACTAATATTAGTTTAGGATTTTTTATATAGAAGAAAGAATTGATTTTTTCTTTGTAATGGATAAACTAAATAAAATATGGTCATCTATAAAAAGCTACATTTTTAGCGAGTAACATGTATTATATGTAGATGGCTGTATTTTATTTTAAAAAATATTAGTGATCTACATACTCGTATCTACTCGAAGCCGGAACGTGTCACTGATGTGTAACATATTTATAGTCATTTCAAAAATGACGGTAAAAAAAGTACTCGGTTCTCTCTTACTGCCTCGCGAGGGACTTACCGTGAAGATAGATAGATATAAAGGAGTAAATAAATAAATATAATATTTCGATTTGTCTGATATTGTGTTTTTAATGGGTGAAAATCTACGCTATCGGTTGATACCAGTTGATAAGGATACATACGTCAGTCTTTATTATATACATACATTATGTATGAAGCATTGTAGTGTGACATCCAATTACCTGTAATGAATTTACTAGGTTAATCGGTTTACTTTACACAAATATGATACTTACTACTCATAAATAATGCAATACGACCACCGTCATGTAGTGGCAAGCACGTTATTTCATGTAAATATGATTCTGAGTTTGATTCACGGTATAGCCAATTTTGAAAAAAAAAAAGAAAAAACTTTTTCCGTGTTCTCCATTTTGCCGCCGAATGTCTGTTGTCTGATCAGAGCACAATACCCATTCTAGCTGGATGATGAGGCAAATATTTATTGTAGTGGCGTGCAGCATTTATCATATGAGAGCCGATAAACTAAAATAATATACACTGACTTGGGGGGAAGGGATTGTTAGTTCATTACTAACAATCCCTAGCCTAATAGCCCTGTTGCTAGCAATATACCTTTTCAGATCGACTTCCACGCGGTTTCCCCTGGAAACCATCATGGTTAATTCTTGTCGAATTCATCATGGTGGGCCAATTGACCTGCATTCATTCTCACCTATCATCTTTCACTGGTGCCCCGCTGGTGTAAACTGTAACTTTGCGCTGTAATCTTAATAATATAATATCATATAATTTATTTATATCTTCATATATAAAATTTCCATGTTACAATGTTCTTACATCGTAATCTTCTCGTAGCTATTTTAATGAAATTTTGTAAAAGTGTGTATTATATGTGTGTGTGTGTGTGCGTGTGTATGTATGTGTTTATGTGTGTGTTTGCTATAAATCGAGTGATAGGAAAAATGGATTCGATAAGTGACAGTAGAAGGCAAAATAACGTTTACCGGTTTTATTAATGGTTAAGAATGGAATGGAAACCTGCCTACGCTGGCGGGGGGCATCATTGAGGAATGATAGGCGAGGATAAGAGTAGGTTAGTTAATCCATCATGACGAATTCAACAAGAATTAACTTCGATGGTTTCCAGGGGAATCGCTTTGATGTCGATCTGAGTAAAATAAGGTTGTTAGATCCCATTAGTTATGGGATCTAATAACAATCCCTTTTCCCCGTGTTGATCGTGTCGACTACTAAAGATGAAACTGTACAATTCTTTTTAAAGAGGTGTTATAATATTTTTTGACCTTAGTTCTCAGACTTACATTTAAAGTCGTGGATGGATAACATTATATTAATATACATATATTACTACTATTCTATTTCTATTTTATTTTTCTATTTTGTGATATCCACAATGTTGTATGCATATCTTTATAGGCGACGGTAGCAAATTTTTATTGGATGGGTAGTCAACTTGTCTACCATTCTCAGTCTTATAAAAATAATATACAACTAATTAGTATTTATGTGGATAATAGTAATTATAAACTTTTTTATAATTTAACTGCAGATTTGCATTTGTAACAGATTCCAAAATGACGGCATTCAAAGCTTGCCAATTAAGGCGATATCAATTATGTTTGAAATCTGATCTCGTTAATGGATGTTCCGCGATATACAGCTGTTAATTGTACTATTCTTTATAATGGCCGATCGATGGAGCGAGATCAATTTTAATGCCATACACAAGATTTGCGGTATGTTTATTTGCACTGCATTTCACCATATCGTGTTTAGACCGTAGTGTTACGTGCACGCTTTTCATGAAATCTGTATAGTAAAAACATTATAAAATTCACATTTTATTTCCTGTTAGGTGCAATTCTATAATGTAGGTACATTGGTACGCTTCGCTCAGAAATTACTATTTGTTAGTTTTAGTTGCATGATTTTCAGTATATCTAATATTTTTAGATAGGAAATATTTTCTTTCATAACGGTAATAAAGAAAATTTAATATTTTACATTCGTGTTCTACTAGCTGTATAATATGAATGTTATCCTCCTATCCCTATCCGTGTACCAAAATTTATATAAATCCGTTCAGTAGTTTAAAAATAATGCGTGAAAGAATTACAGACATTCATCCATCCTCATAAACTTTCGCATTTATATTATTAGTAGGATTCATATAGAATACTAAGAAATAGAAGAATAGATTTAAGTACTTCATATTGTACAATTAAATTGTGTCCTTTTCTTCTACAGTTTTCTATTATTTATGTTGTTTTTGCCATATTAAAGCAAAATTTTTTTTTTTTTTTATTATTTATGATTAGTAAATTTAATAAAAATATGTAAAGAGATATTTTTCTTCAGCCTTTAGCGTGTAAACGCTAAATTGCAATAGAGATCAGTTGAAATTAAAGACGTCTAATTTTCTTGAATAAGTGGCGCGCGTTTTTTCACGTGGTTCAAATAGACCGGAACTCGACCTGTTGGTGCGCGGATGTCCGTAGCTGTCCCGTTGGATGCGCGTGCGCTGCTGCACCGCGGCTAATGTACTGAAACGAAACACTACTAAAAGTTTGACATTTTTTATTTTTAAATTTCTTAATTATCTATCACTAAATTAATTATATTTATTAACACTTTAGTGAACAGGTAGTGCATATAACGGACTTAACCGTATAGTATTTTCTTCCAGTCGACCAATTATAAGGCAGAGATAATTGTGTAGGTCATGCTTATTTTTAATGATTTTCTTACAAGTTGTCTTCCTAGGTTTTATCTATTATTTGATAAATATATAAAAAAGAGGGTATTTTAAACCACGAAGAAAAACATAGGTTGTTTTATTAATTAATGTAAAAGGACTAATTTTACGCCATTGAAGTTTAGGATAAAATTTAGCGCATCTAACAATAATTATCTGTCATTGTTAATGCACTCGAATAATTGTTCTCTGTATGCTATCACAATGTTTCCGGCCGCGATTCGTTTAATCACTTTTGGTATATTGACTAATCGTGTTAAACATCACGCTACGCTCCAAAACTAAACAGTTTTTACTGGCAGTAAAAATAGTTGAACGGGGAACGGGGTTTTCGAATAAATATTGTGACATAGAATTTTTTTATATTATTTAGATAGTATAAATGTACGAGAACTCTGCATTTATGAAACTGAATAAAACAATTCTTGTACGTATTTTTAAAGACTCAGTCGAAAGTTGCTTTTTTTTGCTGTGTGAATTTTTGTTATTCGTTTTCACCTAATTAAGGATTAATTTATTTACTAAAGGATTTTCTCATTGAAGAAACCTCGTGTTTACATTGGCCTTCTCTGACATTTGGAATACAAATGAGTTTATAGAGATCGAAGCACGACGTGTGTGTTCTATGGTGCTAACAATGAAATACCCACCCACATATTAAAACTTGACTAATATATTGTTAAGTCGTAGTTCAATATAATTTATACAAATTTTATTTTATTTATGTATACAATATGTTGAGTTGACTAATACTAAATGGCACTTAAAAAAAAATCTTAGAATGATGGAAAGTAGAAAAGGATAGCTATGAAATAATTAGGTATATGGGTGAAATAAAATTATAGTTTTAGTCAGAGATTTATATGCAACTTATTAACTTTTAGTTCGCTCTCAGACAATTTTATAATCGTTTAAATTATCGAATTTTGTTTTTAAAATTTAATAGGGATGCTATTAACTAATAATTATTAAATTCAATGGAGCTAAATGGCCATCAATTTTATCAATATTCTAAATGATTTTTTTTATTGTAATTCATTTTTATAGATCTTTTCTGTATATTTGTGTAGGTGTATACAACCTTCTCCAAATCGAAAAAGAAAAATAATTAAGCCTTTCATACAAAATGATTCATTCTCATGATTATTTTCATGTATAATCGTATAATAATACTATCGTTTATTTCCGAATTGTTATACTTAGAACTTATATATTAAATTTATATTTGTCTGCAGATTGAAGATGACGCCTATCAAGAAGATCTGGGTTACACCCGCGGCACTATTGGCAAATCGAGCACGGGTCGCGTGCGGTTGCCTCAAATAGACGAAAAGACAAAAGTCCGCATAAGCAAGACTCTGCAAAAGAACCTGCAGAAACAAAACCAGCAGTACGGTGGCGCAACAAGCATAAGGAGACAAGTGTCTGGTACCGCGTCGTCTGTTGCGTTCACACCGTTGCAGGTTAGTGCAAATTTATTAATAGATTATGTTATTATCTATACTTATGTTATAAAGGGGAAAGATTTGATATTTTTTTAAGTTTGTTTGTAATGAATAAACAAAACTAAGTGATTTTAAAAATTCTTTCACCTATAGTAAGCTACATTATCAGCGAGTTACAAAGGCTGTGCGGTCCGTATTGACGTATGGGTATCTTAAGAGTCGACTAAAGAAGGGTGAGGGATGTGCAGCAACTTTTTTCTTTAAATATCTTTAAAGTCTAACTGCGGTTGCCAATTCGCCTGCCAATAGTGGCAGCTACTGGCTAACGGGAAGACTTATGTTCAGCAGTGGACAGATAATAGCTAATATGATGATAATTATGAACACAGGCTATATATTATTTCCTATTTACCATTGCAAAGCCGGGGCGGTTTGTTAGTATTAATTTTTTTTTTGTTAGAATGGTAAACAAGCTTCAGCGGGAATGGCTACTCTTGAACTATAAACATTTGTAACATATGCGATGTTACCGTATGTAGCCGATCTTTAAAAATCTGTGATAAAAATTCGATTAGGGGATTTTTATCTGTGTTGAAGTCGTATTTTTTTTTCAACAATCGTGCCGTATTTATTTGTAGTACCTATATTTTTTTGTTTATTTTTCCGTTTCGTATTTTATCATGTTACTAACCTTTAACAACCCAATACTTCGTCTGAGTGTTCAGGATAATGTTGATTGACCGGAGTAAATAGTAGTCTAAACCTTCTTCATCACAAATAGTATGAATATTGGTAGGTAGTATAGGAATAACAAAAAGAGTCAACGTTCCACTGATGGGTATGGGTCTTTCCTCATAAATGAATGATATTAACTTACTGATTACGCGGTTTGGTTTTATTTACAGTTTTTGTATCCATGTAGTGATATTAAGTTTCATTCACATAGTTATAGGATGATATATTCGTTCTAGGATGAAAGTATTTTAATGTATTACATCCATCTTTTACGTTAAAATCTAAAAAAAAAGATTGTTTGTCCGCTATCATTTATAGTGTACATTACATCGGATCGGTACATATTTTTATGCTCTTATCACGCAATTTTATGCGGTTCGTGCAATTGCATGCAACGGTCCATTTCACAATTGTTTGTGAATCTTGTTATTTTATACAATAAAGGCCACTTTTTGCGGTTACAAGATAAATCTTTTACATTGACTCGTGTATTGGCTACTTTATTTATTTATACATTGCACCAGATTCAAACAATAAGGTTTACAGTATATAATTGAGGTAGAATGATGCAGAAAATAGTTTCATTGCTAAAACAATCTTTTGCTATTGTCTTATTACTTCCAATATTTACAATTAGAGTGACAACGACACAATAATTAAAAATTTTATATGTTATTAAAATATTCGATAAGAATGAAAAGCAATAAATTTTATAATATCTAGTTTCTTTTTTAATCTTTCAAGGTGCTGTGTTGATAGATTAAAACAAATCTTAGTTAATCTCAGTGTATATATTAGTATTGTTCTCGTGTGAATAAAATAACGGTTTATTATAAAATTGTACGTATATATGAATGTCTTAAATGACATAAATACTACTTAGATATAGGTACTAGTTGTCTGTAAAAAATTGTGTCGATGTACTCAGTTAACAACTTGCATTGTTGTCTCAACGAGGTAGCCAGTAATTATGCAGCCGGTCATCTCACGTATGCCACGTATTGCTCAGTCTTATTTTAATAGCAATAAAGTCCAAAATTTAGTAAATATTACTTAAAAAAATTTTTTTAATACTATTTAAAATTGTGTATATATTTTTTTTTTATTTCAGTTGTTATCTAATTCTGTAATTGTATGTGAAGAATGATCGTCGTTTAGCTTAAAAATTGTACAGTAATTTAAGCGTAAAAAATGCTAAGTCAGTATATAAATGTATCTGGCTTGTGGAAACCTAAATACTAAACAAATTGCAATATTCACCATCATCATCCACACGCAACAATCCACAAACTAGAATACGCTATAATATAGGAAATTACCTAAAGATAATCAGAAGGCACAACCTAAAATACCCTGCGGAAGGGAGCGTTAGTAATGATCACTACCAGTTCCATTGTTAGCAATATTTCCTGACAGATCGACCTCCACGTGGTCTCACCCCCTGGAAACCATCGTACTAAATTTCAAATGTATTTTTTGTGTATTCATCACGATTGGCTAATTGATATGCTTTTTCATTCTCACCTATCATCCCTCACTAGTTCCCCAGTATCGTATTATAGTTAGCGCAGGTGGGGCTGCTATTTCATTATCATCCTATAAAAAAAATACCCCGACTCGAGACAATGCAGAAATTTCTTTTATTACATTGGCCCGTCAGAGCTTCATTCATATACACACATAGGTCGTTGATTGCTTTATTTTTTCGAAGTTTAAATATAAACTAAAAAAGATCTATTTACCCTTGATTTTCCTACATCAAATTCTAAATAAAAATAAAATATAAATATTTTGTTATTTTATTTTTCTTAGAAGTAATATTTATAAGGAAAATCCAACTGATTCCAATTAATTAAAAACTGAAAAATCAGCCGCTTGTTAAGAGTCTGTGAACATTGTGAAAGTGGAACGAAGTAGGTATCTGAATTTCGCTATATATCTTATAATCATAAGACTGTATCGTTCGTTTGAAATTGCAACAAAACTGATATCTTAACATATTTCACGTTTCTTTTTCTTTTGTAAATAATCAGAAATTTTTTCAATTCACTTTACAGTGAATTGTAATAATATTATTACGTTTTAAACATTTTGAAGAGTTTAAGACCCACTTACAAAATCATTGCCGTGACCAATTTAAAAAGTAAAATAATATGTGCTGGACTGTACTAGGTGAGGTATTCTCTAGATAGCTTAAAAAGTAAACATTAAATTAAGTCTTCGTACTTTTAGATACAATAAAGATAGTTTGAAATTGCCGTACTCTATGATATTAGCGATAAACATTATCGACCTCAATGTGTTCGTCGACGTCGTACGGCCGAGCGGCCGCCGAGGCATCATTACCATCGTATCTCACGTAGATCTCGCCCTTGAGCTGACGTTAGAATACCATTCTAGCAATTACGTCTGAGAACGATGATGTTTTCATCGTGAACAACGGTTCTCCTGATGGTGTATCGATAGGGATTTTTGTTTCACTTGACGAGATATTTTTCATAGTTTTTTCTTCTACATATTTTACTGGTAATTTTAGAATAAAAAATATATTACTATGTAGTGAATTTATATAAATGTTAATAATATGTACCAAATCGTTTTTCAAACTGTTATTTCGAACTCCTTTAAATATACATTACGAGTATTATTATACCTACTTGTACAACAATTAATCCGTTACCTTAAAGTTGTGTTGAAAGATTGCTTACCCGCCCTTAGAAAAACCGCCTTACTGTACTTATACAATTGTATCGTTACTTTTATTAGTTGTCTTATTTTAATCCTTATGTTGTATAATTTTTTTATTTTTTTATACAACTTAGAATGGCAAACAAGCTGACGGCCCACCTAATGGAAAGTGGTAACCGTCGCCTATAGACATGAGCAGTACCATGGACATAACACAGTATACTATTTCGCCCATGATACCCCCCATGCGTTGCCATTCCTGAGGACTCAGGTGTTATTCCTCTGTACTCAGTAAATTCACGCTAATTAAATTCAAGCAATCGACTTTTGTTCATTCGTTATAAGTAGAGGTACCTATACCTACGTATCGCTAAATAGACACTTCAATTTTAACGAAATTAATATGAGATCAAACCATGGAATAAAATCAGTCAAATCAAAAATACAATTAAATTAAGAATCTCTAAGAAATTATTTTTTGTCAAAATAAATAAAAAAATTGTTATCTTTTGGAGTTCGATAAGACTCTCTATTGTGAACTGCCAGTAAAAATGAAACTCCGGTTCGTATTAAAAGTTATACTACGAATGAAGGCGTTTCTTGGAAATTCATTCCACCATCTGCTCCTTTTAAACGAAATGGTCTTGCTTGAATAGCCGAAGTGCGCACAACTATTAAGATACCTCTTCTCTCTTCTCAAAGGAGCAAATGATCCGGCTCGAAAGATCAATAATATTGTGAACTGCTATTAAAGATATAACACCGGGTCGTGTTAAAAGTTGTACTGACATATTAATAAAAAATGACGATAAAAGCAATAAAATAAATAATACAAATTATAGAAGAGTTAGTAAGACCCTTTATTTTAAAAGTTCTCAAATTTTTTGGGAAAGACTTTAGAAACAACACATTTGTTTGAACTCAAAAATTAAGAAAACCCGGTATTATGCTTATTATTTAATGAAATTCATAGCTACAAAATAAAATAAAAAAACCTGTTGACCGTACCTGTTATTGATGATTTTTTTTTCCATTTAATATGCATCGAATATTGAATTTTATTACAAATTATTTCTATAGAAATATTTCTTATTACGCAATAGGAATTTGATATTCTTTATTCTTAGAACTTATTTTACTACGATCGTAGATAGTATAATAATTTATATAAGTTGGAGGCCTCGCAAAGCTCGATGAGTGAAGCACGCGCCCCTCTATTATATATTTTAAAGGACGATGCAGTCTTCGTCTATCAATAGTCGGGCTAAGATGTAATAAAAATAGGGTCAACATGATAATACGATACCATACAGGTTATTCAATTATGATAATATTAATTTATGCCCATCAATTCCATGCATAAGAAAAAAAAAACATCCACTTTTGACCTCGAAGTTTAATTAAGGTCTGCAAAGAGGTATTATAACCGACATTTTAATTAAACCAGTGTTGCTATTGTGTCGTATATTTTTTATTGTACTCTTGTATCCATAGCAAAAATGACACTATATCAGGAATTATTTACGTAACTGCGAATCTATATAATATGAAGTATCTTTGGCTTGTTTAAAAGATGGCAAAACCATTAGCGTATCCATACCGCACGAGCCCTTTAAATACACCTTTGGCTAAAATATTGGCGCCAAAAAGCCTTTTCGATTAATTGTAGTTTTAGATTAAGAAATATAGATAAAGCACCTAGTAGAAGTACTAATATGTACACGACAATAAGTAGTAATATTATTAATTCAATCAGTAAACCCCGAGTATTTTTAGCTGACGAAAAACAAAAGTAGTCGACCTCCATCGCTTTAGTTTTTCGTCGGTTGAAAATATACGTATATATACCTGCGTCGACGTTAGAAACTTCTTAAGTTGATATGTTTATACTTGCTGAAACTAAGAATAGACGAAAATTAATACAATAAATGTGCTTTATAATAATTCCGAGTACATTTAAATGGGTACGGTTTGGCCAATTAATACCTACGCAAGAGAATTGATGATAGTAACAGTGAGGAGTTGTTACTTAGTTCTCGTGAGACTTCCATTAAAGTCTTTTCTACAATTGATATTTATTAGTCCATTCAGTTGGATAATTACTTTCCTATATCTATTCGCTAACATCTGAAAAGCTGGTATATTTTATTATGTTGTGGGAAGTAAGGGAAAGTAGAAATATATAACATGCATTATTGTTGATCCTGAAGGTATACATAGACGATGGTCAAATGTCGACTTACATCTTCTCCATCATACAAACAATGCCTATTTACTTTGTTTTATGTTTTTTTTTTATCTACATATTTTCTGTTTTAATTTATTCACATCTCCGTGCAAATGTTTACAGAACAATATTCTTTGGACAAAATGTTTTTCATTTACGTCAGTCTTAATTGATTTTATATTGAGACTACAACCGTCTGAATATATGTATTTGAATATATAATGACTGCGATCGTTTACATGTAGGCAGACAACTGAGAAAATTGCCTGTTAGTATTTCAGCCCATCTAGTCGGAACTTTCACCGTTTAGGTACATTTCGCTGTTGGTATTTGTGCTATGTGAATGGCAACGCCCTTTTGTAGTTAAACGATAGTTAAGTACTACGGACTATTTAGAATTTTGATACTATGATTTTTTATTTCTTCCCCAACCCACCTTCCTAAAACCCAATTCTCTGATTAGTATTTGTAGACGGTTGTAATGCAATATTTAGAATATTGCGCCACTTTTAAATATCGTGGAGTAAAAAGCAAATATTTCCGCATTTTTAATTGAAATATATATTTTTCAAATAATTTGTCTATAGTATGCGTCATCTTGTCATTCATCGAAGTGTGTTCATGATGGAACTAGCTTTTAGCGGAATAGTACCATAAGTAGTACTTACATTTAGTACACCTATTTTATTTCAACTTTCTTTAGATATACCGCACGGTAAACATTACATTTCCGTTATTAGATTTGCATCAAGGCACGAGTGCAGCTAATGTGAACCACCTAGATAGAAAATATGAGGCTATTAGTAACTTGCCCTCCGCCCAACGACTGGTGTTAAGCTGCCACATCTAGGCACCGTTAGCTTAGAAGGCTTAGATATTTATCGAATAAATACTACCCAACATTCATATCGTATATTAAGAGTTAGATCTCTTATCATACGGTCAAATGTATAGAATAATATACATTTGATAGCAATTTATCAATTTATGAAGCTACTGGCTGTATTACGCAGTTTTAGTTAATGCCATTTTTCAATCTCAAATATGACGTGTATAGCATATTTTATGCCGTTACAGTGCTAAGAGGTAGCTAACAACCACTTTCGCATATAAACTAGCTTTTGCCCGCAATTTTACACAGGTGGTATCATGATTTCCCTTTAAGTACAATTTTTAAAAATCCTTCCATAGTGAAAATTTCGGACAAAATAAACATCAGTTCCAAATTTCAGCTTTTTAGATGTAATTACATAATTTGGCTATATCTAGATGCCCGATCAAGACAAAAGATTTTATAAGTATAGATTAAAAAGATTATAATATTTAAGTAGAAAATTTATACATATCGTGGTAATAGACTTTTATCATTCAAACACATTGTGCAATACATTCTATACGGACTCGTAAATCATTTATTAATTAAAATACTTGCAATAAGCTTATTTCTTTTTAATTATGTATATTACAATATAGGTTGACTGGTAGAGAATGCCTGGTAGCATTAAGTCCGCATTTTGTATCACACTATATTAATAAAAAAAATATAAATTAATCATTTATTTTATTCTTCTCCCAATGACAATCAATTAACGTTGTAAAAACATCTCGTGATCAGTGTAAATTAAATGAATGACCATTACTAGGAATTGTCTTACTTATCTACTTGGGTATGACGATGAAAATGCAGCTTCGCTCGGCCATGTAATAATCAAGCTGGTTTAGGGCTGCCAACCTTGATCTACACGATTAAAATATATTGTTGACTGGTGAAACGTTACATAAATGTTGCGCTCGTAGGCGTAACGGATAAGGTTACAATATAATTAGATCGCAAATTCTATGGCTTATACGAAAGAACTTCTTCCTTTTGAAATAACTTAAGTATAAAATGTGACGACTAGGACCCAATTTTACTATTATTGTAACAGCCATTAACTGTCTACTGCTGCATACAGGCCATGAAGGGGATACATGAGGGGGGTTTTATCTGTAGTTGCCATGTTTAGCAGGCGGGGTGGTAATCGAAGTTATGCTTTGGTGATGTTTTAAGAGGGTCAAATTTAATTAGTCATCTCTTGCGACACCCACGGAAAAGGAAGGGGTGCCCTATTCTATGCCGGGACCACAGGGCAATAAGATTCAATGATCACACAAAGACCAACGTCCAATGGCAATACAATCTCAAACCTTTTTACTGTACTTTTATCGATATTGTGAAAATTTGGTAAAATATAGGTTATTTTCTAGTATATAGCATAGCTATGGATGACAGGTTAGGACCTGCCATCCATAATTTGAACAATAAAATATTGAATGATAATGGTACCTAATCCATTGGCAATTGGATCTAATTAAAGTGTAATGTTACAAAGACACGCTTAATTTGCATCATTATTATGATTAGAGGTAAATGATAATTAATGTCAATAAGTTACCGTTATTGACATTATTGATTTGAATTTTCTTTTGTTATATTCGAATTCTATTCTAGGTACTGTGTCATCTACTTTATACAGACTAGACTATAAATAGATTTAAATGTATTAATTAATATTATCTTACATTTATACTATAAATCGTTTTCTGAAGTAAATATAATTTGTTTTTGTATTCGAGTCTATTTATGGGTCTGTATATTTACGTAGACTATTTTATTACATAGATCACTTTTTATCCTGGTCACGGACTCAATCGTGGGAACAGCAAATTTTACATAAAGTGCTTTTGTCACTGTGGTTTTAAAGAATGTATTATATTATACGTTTAAAAGGGATGGTCTGATTTCAAGAATAAAAATTAATTGAGATAGTAGTAATTAGTATTTGATATTATTAATTTCCGTGTAATTGCTTATAATTGTTATTGTGATGCTAATTAGTTTCTTTTCCAAATCACTTTTTCTCTTTTATTATAATATCATTATCTATCACTGAGTAATCTATTTAGTTTTATTATTTTTATATTTATTATTAATGATAGTTTACCATCATAGCTATTTATATTGTTGTACAATCAATTATAAAATAGCGGCTATAGTGTTAGAGAGATTATTTGTAATAACTGTGACAAATTCAAGAAGGACAACACAGCTCATAAGTTATGATTAAGCAATACTTTTTTTGTTCTAGGGTTTGGAAATTGTCAATCCTCAGGCAGCTGAAACGCGCGTAAATGAAGCCAATGCCAAATATTTCTCAAACACCTCTGGATTCCTGTCAATAGGCAAGAAGACGACATGAATACGACAAAATGTTTTATTTAATTGACACAAGATATATAAAATATTACCTGAAATAAGTTACAAATTCTGTGATCGTATGTTTGAAGTATTAATAAATAAAAATTTAAATAAATTGATTGTTTTATTTGTATCTATCTAGTATTGACGATAAATAAAGAACCAGAAGTATGGGAAAATATTTTAATAGTGCATTCTTAAATAAGGACTCGGAAAGGAAGACCAATGGAATAAAGACTTCAGAAGTAGTGCAGAGAAAGAAAATAGAGTACCACGAAATTGTACTTAGTGGTGAAAAATGACAGAAAACTGTGTTCAGTAGTGGATGATACATGAGTACTAATGATGATGATATAGGAACATGAAATGCAGTCTAAATGAAAAACTATATTATTTGCTATGAAAAACATAAGGTCTACTCAACGAAATTTCACTGGTTTAAAGTAACATACGTGTTTATATTTTAAATAACTCTGTGCCTTTATCAATTAGCTTTTAGTCTGTTGTTAGTTGTAGTTAATTTGTGCCTTTAGCTTTTGATGTGTTTTGATGATTTCAATCAACAATTTTTACTTGGACTTCTTTTTTAAACTATTTAGAAGGGCATATAAGCTGGCGACCACCTGATGAAAACGTTAACCGTCTCCTGTACTCATGAACGACTCTATGTACATTATTAATACAATGTAACCCCTCGCGTTATCACATTGGAAAAATTAATGTGTTCATTTTATCAATCGCGTCAACATTGTGAACATTAATTCTGTGTGTAATTTCACTGCATTACTTACTTTTCAAACCGGAACAAAGTAATGCATACAGTCGCTGTTGGTACCAGAAAAAGATAAGTAAAATAATGACAAGTATGTATAAATTATTAATCAGGTAATTTTTCGTGTTTATATCTCATAATTATCTTTATGTCCAATTAAATTTGTAATGGTTTTGAGGTGCATGTGCACGACGTGTACACTTATCAAGATGCCCTTTTTTAAATGATTTAGAATAACAAATTAGTTGACGTCCCGCCTGATGGAAAGTGGAAACCGTTGCTTATAGACTTGAACAGTACTGATACAATACGTTTATAATGGCACAAACAAAATGAAGGTCGTGGTAAGTATACCACATGCGTTGCAATTTCTGAGGGTTAGCCATGACTTCGTAGTTATTAATTTCACTGCCAAGTACCATTTCTGTTTAACCATATATTAATCAGAAATATACCCAATTATGTTGTGATTTGATATGATTAATATAATATATTTGAAATCTTATGAGTAAGTTCAGATTTCACAAAATGCACTTTCGATTAAACTGATTTAAATCTTCTGTTTACTGTTCCACTTGCGGCACTTCCTTGTATTTCAATACGAATTGCGTAAACAGCGATGCACTCGGGCACTCATTCGCTCGCGCTCTTACTAATAAAGCTAATATTTTGTCACACAAAACCGTATGTAAAAATTATAGATATCCATCTAAATACGGTTACATATACATATGGCTGCTGTTTGTAAGAAGACAATAGCCATCCACAAACAGCTGGCCAGGGCCCCTCAACGTTTAGAAATCCTTGGAACGGTGAGGTCACTCCATGAGGCCTGTGAAGATGCCAGAAGGCTTCTGTGCTTCTGAGCGGAGTTGGCTGTACTAGTCACTATATGTATATATATAAACATTTACATATATTTATTACTGATAATTACACTTATGTAAGACACGTGAAAGTGTTTGTAAAATTATTCCATTTCAATGATAGATAAGTTTAAAGTAAGCAAAATTTGGTACTAATTAACCCAAATAAGTACAGTAAGTGAGATAATGTATATGAGCGAGCAATATTTACAGATCAATTAATGTCACCTCAATAGTTTAATAGTGAAAAAAAAACAGAAATTAGCTATCATGAAAGTGGCTTAGTTTTATTTTATCACTATTTATTGTTTATGATGACTATGTTTCTCATCTTTAAAATAAGGATTGTTCGATGGATTTGTATAACCTGGTGTTTTACAAATACGCCTATCTATCTATTTAAGAGCTGCGCTCTTGTCGGTGGTGCTCTTGCCACTCACTACGATTTTCAGCGAGTCTCTTCACCTCTTGATACGACACGACACCAACTCCTTCCTTGATCTGCCTGATGTAACTATGTCTCGGTCTCCCTCTCCCCCTTCTTCCTTCTATCTTACCTTCTATTATAATGATCATAAGTTCGTCGTGTCGTATCAAGTGTCCCAACATTTTTCCCCTTCTGTCCTTAATAGTTCTAATAATTTGTCTTTTTTCCTTAACCCTAAACAGGACCTCCTCATTGCTAATTCTATCCCTCCAGCTGTCTTACAAATCTGTTCTACAAATACGCCTGTGGATGTAATATCTATAGCACCTTGGACAATTGGACATCTTACTAATATAACAAAATTGTAATTAGACAACGTCTGTAGATGGAAGATATTTAAAAGAAGATGGATAGTTTGGGTTTTAACAAGAGCAACAGAAGTCAACACTGTAGTTGAATTCGTCAGGATGTGCTCACTGACCTGCTTTCATCTTCATCTATCATCTGTCACTAGTGCCCCGCCAGTGTATACAGATAGCGCAGGCGGGGTTACCATTCCATTATCATCTATAAAAAAAAATTGTATATTTGTTCCGGCATCATGCAGAAACTACTGTCGTTAAATCCGGTATTTACTGTTGTGTTCCTAAAGTCTAACTTAAAAACTGGTATATGTTTTATTTTGTTACGCTATCTAGAAGTACTTAATCTATTTCATTGTATTTTTTACTTCCGAAATCCACGCGTATAAATTATCATGACATCCTTATGTGTTGCCATTTTTGAGAACTAAGGTGTAATGCATTCATATACTGTAATTGTACTGCCATATCTTAATCTTCTAACTAAAATATAAACTGCATACTTTAGTTAGAAGTTTAGATATGCAGTAAAGCAGTTGTGTCTGCATGGCTGTGTTTTGTTTTGAAGGGTGGGACATGGCGTAAATTTACAGAGTACAGAGGAATAACACCTGAGTCCTCAGGAATGGCAACGCATGGGGGGTATCATGGGCGAAACAGTATAGTCTGTTATGTCCATGGTACTGCTCATGTGTATAGGTGAGGGTTACCACTTTCCATCAGGTGGGCAGTCAGCTTGTTTGCCATTCTAAGTAGTATAAAAAAAATATGCATGCACTGTAACTGCTTGACAATTTAGTGGGCATGGTGATTGATGATTTTTGTGTAGTCTATCATTGGTATATTTTATGAAAGTTGAGTAGTTTCAGTTTAAATTACCTAGTTCACTTTCAATAATCTAATAAAACCCATAAATTTATTTCTACTAATAATAATATACTATCACAGGGAAGTATGTTCTTTGCAATTATTAATCCTTAATATATAATATAATCACATTATGCCCAAGTTCTATAATGATATCGCAGGTATGTTACAACTTGATTACATTACTGTTGCCTTAACAGCTATTACATGCCATCTATGTAAACAGTTGTTGCAAGTTTTAGCAATACTGCACATGCCTTTCATACCTTATTTTGCAGGCAACTGTCTAATAAAAATACCACAATGTGTATTTGCAGATTCAAATAAAAACGTATCACTAAGATTTATTTAGGGATAAACATTATCTTGTGTTACATATGTATGGAATTATTATTTCCTATCTCAATGTGTAGTGTAATATTTAATAAAGAATGTATTCAGTATGACGCATTTTTTAAATAGAGTTTCTGTTTTTTATTATATGATATTTTTATTTTCCTATATTTGGTGAAGAGTCAGTCAATTTATTATTTACATTCCTGTAATTTTACTGTTTAGTTTTACAGTTCCACTTATAGTTGGTACCGATCAACCAAGTTAAGCAACGTTGATTATGTATACTCGTATATCTACCATGTATAATTGGTATGACATTTTAATTTTAGCTTAAGGAGTTTAAATATGCCGATGCATAAGTTATGTTTGAAATAGTTTTTTTTTTTGTATTAAAAAAAAACAATATACTGAATTCAAAACAAATTTCTTCATTGAGGTTTAAAACCAGTTTCAGTCCGTGTACAGTACAATACTTGGTTACATTTATTATGAACGGGCATATATTACTGGTTACTCCAGTTCAAGGACGCCATGTTACGTTGAATTTTTCAACTGACTACGTAATGAGTTTAGGGCACTTGCATATTAAAACAGTGTAGGCGTCATGCCAACGCATTATAATACTTATTATGTATATCATTACACCATAGGTATGGAAATGGTGGAGTAACACTAATGAGACTTCATATTTAAGAGCGTTTATACGAAGCCTACTGAAAGGTGGTAACATCGAAATTATCTGTTCAATTTAAAAAATAAATTATTTTTAATATTTCTGATTAATTGTGTTAAAAATCTTCTAAAGGCTAATTAAAATGTTAATCATGGGATAAGATCTTATCACTGAAGTTTTGACAGTAAAAAATATAAAAGGCTACGGAAGTTTAAATCTTTGCAAAATACAAGTATGAAGTAATTAGGTGCAAAATTTTTCGTGGTAAATTGTGTGTAATTTAATCTATTCATTCATTGTTACTAGGTATAAAGATTATTTGACATATAATTTTTTTTTTAAATTACTACTATTAAATTTAATGCATAAAAGTCTAAAAGTCGTATTGTTGTAAACAACACAGTTTTTATGTATTCCGGAAAAAATCGAATTATGTAAATTACATGATTATTAAAATGACCGATTATGTACTTTATCTGAAATAGTTATAAAGTAGAAAGTTAGGGCCGCATGATATTAATCTGTGTATTATGGTCACCAATCTATATACACATTCATTTGTCAGTGTTTCGTAGATTAGTAGGTTTCCTAATTTCATTAATATGCCATAATTCTATGTGTAGGATCCTTGTTAACATTATAAATGTAAAAGTTGGTTTATTTTTTACCTTTGGCGTTTCAAAAAAAACATCAGCATCATTAACAAAAATCATCAGTAAAACATCAGTAAATTATAACATCAATGTTAAAAATATATCACATCAAATTGATCATATTCTAAATGTCTGCTAAATATCTAGAATTACCGCTTT